AGATTGTGAGCCTGTGTGTGTGTGTGTGTGTGTGTGTGAGAGAGAGAGAGAGAGAGAGAGAGATGAGAAAGAGAGAGAGAGAGAGAGAGAGAGAGAGAGGAGGAGGAGAGAGAGAGAGAGAGAGAGAGAGAGGAGAGAGAGAGAGAGAGAGAAGAGAGAGAGAGAAAGAGAGAAAGAGAGAGATTGTGAGCCAGGTGGCTGAGGTCCTAGGTGTGCGTGTGTGAGAACGATTAGGGAGAATTCATAGCAGAAGTGTTGAGATGGGACAAGGCGTTTCCGAGTGTGACAGTGTACTGTGTGTGTGTCCCTGTGAATGGAGAGGGGCTTCCTGCTGGAATGTGTGTGTGCCTGTGTGTGCTTGGAGGCCATGCGATGTCAGTGGGGCTGGAGCGGACAAGGAAGGCTTCATGGGGGGGCCACAGTTAAGCTTTTGGAAACATAGATAGGCTTTGGGATCGGGAGTGGGTTCCAGGTGGGGAGCAGTATGAGGAGCCACTGTTGAAAATTATCGTGGTTTCACCAGGTGAAGGAGGTGGAAGACCGCTAACATCCGACTTGGGAATTTTGCATTGATTTAATAAAAAATGTTTAACCAATGTAGCAGCAGTTAATAAGCATATGTGACCTTTTGATGCACCTATAAAAACAGAACCATTTTCCCAGAAAAAATGCACAGAGGCACATCCACGCAACCTTATGCATTGCCGTTTGAGGAAGTTCATGCTTTCCTGAAAGACATCCACAGACCTTTTTGATGTATAGACCCTGGACTAATGGCCCCTGCCATACACCCTTTGTTTGGGCATCTGTGAAATGGTTACAACAATGTGTATGAGTCTGTTCGAGTGTTAAATAACATAATGTGCGTAAAGCTAAGTACAGTTTCGGCCCATGATGAGCCCTTAGATGTTAGCTTCTGCTGCTGCTGTGTTGTTGGTATCGTCATCATCATCATCATTAATTGACATTAAACAAGGAAATGCAAGATAAAAGTGGTGTTCTCAGAAGTTATCTTTTTTGTATGAAAGATAAATCTGAGTGAAAAATATATGGCACAAGATGAGCAGTTAAGATATTACTAAAATGCTTGCAATTGGCCTGTGAATGGAGAAGTGAATTCAAGAGAACAAATCATGATTGATTGCCTTTTTTGTGTGTGTGTCTCATGATTTGTTGTCTTAAGACATATGGTTGTGGGTAGAGAGCCCATAATATAGGGTGGGAAGTAGGGGAGATGGAAGTGTACCTGGTAGGGATAGGCACGTTTGTGTGACAGTTACCATGACAAATGTCACTGATAGAACTGAGAAAATTTTGTGAGGTTCGTTTCCAGATAGAGCATAGGAGGAAATCTTGGAGAGAAGGAGAATGGAAGGTGAGGACTAAGACATTAAGTACTTTGACAGTCAGGCAACTAACTAGTAAATTTAGCAATTCTCACCATCAGAGAGGACATAGAGGCACTCAAAGAGAAAAGAGGGGGAAGCCGAGTACTTCCAGTGGATGTTGTCTGTGGCCATTTTATCAAAGCCTGACCATCAGAAAAAATTGTATGCATGCTGGCATGCTTCTTGGCTGCTTTTCTTGGTCCTTGGCTGGGGGTGGATGAATATATCACTTAAAAAATTGATAAAAAATATATATGACATAAAGTTTGCCATGTTAAGTGTACAGTTCAGTGGCATTAAGTACATTGTTGTGCAGTCATCACCACCATTCATTTTCAGAACTTTATCATCTTCTGAAACTGAAACTCTGTACCCATTAAACAGTAACTACTCATTTCTTCCTTCCTGGATCCCCTATCAACCAACATTCTACTTTCTGTTTCTATGGAATTTATCACTTTTTAAATGGAAGAGATTTGAGTCCTCTAAAATCTTAGAAATTTCTCAGGAACTGTCTGGGTGTCCAGAGGGGACTTCCCCCAAACTGGGACATTTGACAGCTGAACCTGTATTAAGAAGAGAAGAGCCTGGCTGGTTTAGCTCAGCAGTTGAGCATCAACCCAGGAACCAAGAGGCTGCTGGTTTTGTTAAATTGTAAATCAGAAAGACGCCTTAATCAATAAGCCAAATTTATTTGGAGTCCTGTTTGCTAGCACTAGCAGGCCCAGAGGAAAATCTTCCTTCTCAAATTCTGAGCCCAATATGGTGGAAGTCTTTCCTCTTTATATGTTTTTCAGCTTTTTGTCTCCCAGTTTTAGAATGAGACTTCCAGACCTTCTGAGAAAAAGTCCTGTGTGCTAGGATAGGGCCGTGAGACCATATCTCAAGGCGCCAGCACTGACAACTCTGTCTGGGACATATTTTATGGCCTCTCTGGAATGGGAAGTAGTCTTATTTTCCCTATTATTTAAGCAAGCAAATGTTTACAGAAGCCAGAATAGCAGGGTTAAAATTTTAAACAGCAGTTTTTACCCAAGATGGAGGTTACTATGCTTCATTTTAATTCCTTGGTCATGGTCAGGGCACATGCCTGGGTTGCCAGCTCGATCCCCTGTGGGGGGTGTGCAGGAGGCAACCGATCTCTTCGATGTTTCTTTTTTTTTTTTTTTTAATATATTTTTATTGATTTCAGAGAGGAAAGGAGCGGGAGAGAGAGATAGAAACATCAATGATGACAGAGAATCATTGCTTGGTTGCCTCCTTCACACCCCCTATTGGGGGTCGAGTCTGCAACCCAGGCATGTGCCCTTGATGGGAATCGAACCTGGGACCCTTCAATCCGCAGGCCAGCAAATCATGTGTTCTGAGCCAAACCAGCTAGGGCCTTCAATGTTTCTTATCTCTCCCTCTCCCTTCCTCTCTCTCTAAAAAAAAAATCAATAAAAATATTTCTTTTAAAAAAGAATAAATACCCTGTCATAAGATGTGGAAGCAGCATCATTGCTTTTCCAAGCCTGACTTACAATTTGCATTTACAACTTTCAAGATCCTTGTGTTTTAGTAGAAGCCACATCTCAGTATTTCGTCTGCACCTCTTAAATCACAATGAGGAAGAGAAATGATGTAAGATAGTTTATTTAGCTGGTTACTGTGCTGGAGGCTGCTGGTGCCCAAGTCAACAAAAACAGTATTTTCTTCCCTCAAGGAGATTTCCAGTCTAGTGTGAATGGTAGACACAGAAACACTTTTAAGTACAATGTGATTACCTATTAACGATGTAATAATGGAAGAATGGCAAAGTAATCAAAGAACACTTGTTCTGGAATAGGGTAACACTTATCAAGTGTGTTTGGAAAAACTAATCCCATGAAGCACTTTGGAAAAAGCGTACTGTAGTCAAATACATTGGGTAAATGCTGCATATACACTGAGTGGCCAGATTATTATGACCACCCCATCAGTACTTCGTTGGGCCACCTTTTGCCTTCAATACTGTGGCGATTCTTCTTGGCATTGACACCACGAGATGTTGAAAGGTGTTGCGAGGAATCTGACACCATGCCTGATGAATAGCACTGTCCAGTTCTGTGAGATTTGATGGTTGTGGAACCAGCTGCCTGATGGCTCTTTTAACTTCGTCCCACAAATGCTCAATTGGATTGAGATCTGGTGATTGTGGGGGCCACTAAGCAAGGTAAACCACTCCTTCACAATACGAGCACCGTGGCATGGCGCATTGTCTTGTTGGAAGAAGCCATCTCCATTGGGATACGCCATCAACATGATAGGATGAACTTGATCAGCAACGATACTTGGGTATATTATGCTATTCAGACATTGTTCCACATGAATTAAAGGGCCCAAATCATGCCAGGAAAACATGCCCCAAACCATAACACTGCCCCCACCAGCTTGAAGGGTTGTACTCATGCATGTGGGGTGCATGCTTTCATGCTGTTTCTGCCAAATTCTCGCTCTGCCATCTGCATGATGCAACTGGAAACGTGATTCATTGGACCACATGACTTTTTTCCAATGCTCGACTGTCCAATCCAGAGGTCCTCAAACTTTTTAAACAGGGGCCAGTTCACTGTCCCTCAGACATTCCACACATGCGCACTGCGGGCCCGGGACGAGTCGGCTGTTAAGCAGGACAGGCAGCGGCAGCAAAAACTCCTGGCGGGCCGGATAAATGTTTTTGGCAGCAGGCCGTAGTTTGAGGACTCCTGGCCAATCCTTGTGTTCCTGTGCGAATTGGAGACATTTTATCTTGGTAACTGCAGACAGCAAAGGTGTTCGAACAGGCCTTCGGCTTCCATATCCCATACAATGCAGTGTACGGCTAATTTGCCTACAAACGTCAGGTGGTCGTAATATTCTGGCCACTCAGTGTATAATCCTTCATTTGGAGAGTCATAATCCACATTAGCATATTAAAAGTTCTTAGAACTCCTATAGTAAAGAAACTAATTTAATTTAGTATTTACCATTTTAACCATTTTTAAGTGTACAGTTATGTGGCATTAAGTACATTTACATTGTTGTACAACCATCACTATCTGTCTCTGGAATATTCCCATTTTTTTAAACAGAACTTTTAAAATTTTTTTTGCTGGACATCTATAAACTTTCCACCAAACATTCTTTGTGAAAATGTAGAGTGAGGAAGGCATTTAAGAGTAGGTGAAATAGAAGCTAAGGAGTTGAAGGATCTTACAGAAGAGATCTTTTTGAAATAGATAGCTTCCTGCCTCAGTCATATGAGAATCTGGGTTTAATGTATATGTTTGTACCAAATTATTTCCATGGTGGTAAAAGCTTACTTGGGACCTGGCTGCAATAAGGTACCTGATTAAAACAAAAGAAAGGTTGAAAGGCATGTGGACTGTGGTTGGGCTGGACCAGTGGTTCCCAACCTTTTATTGATCATGCCCTATATAAGCATCTCTAAAATCCTGATGCCTACCCCCCTCCCCCATGACATACAATTCTTATTATTTAACAAGTGAACTCCTATTCATGTGGAGGAAGCCTAAAAGGCCATTAACTTGATCTAAACAGAGAACATGGTATCCTTGAAAGAGAAAAGTAAAAATACAAAAGGTCAGTTGAGGTGTGGAAGAAGAATTCACTAAGAAATTGTTAAAAAAAAAAATGAAGTGATATGAAAAAAAATAGCAAGTAAAGTTTTAAAACATAATAGAGAACTGAAATGCATAAATATGTCACAATATATATTTATATACTGTATGTGAGGCCCCTAGAACCATAAGAAACACAAAAAATTCAATGTTAATAATATTCTCAAATTGCCCCCCTGTGGGGCGTGTGCCCCACATTGGGAACCACTAAGTTAGACTATAGTTTTAGTTCCTGTCTTCTCTCTCCACACATCTACTATCTTATCTCTAGCTTCTCCCTCCCACCTTCCACTCCTCACCCCCATTTAGACTCTGGCATACAAGTTATGTCTTGCTTCCTCATCTATATATTTTCTTTCCTCCTGTTTGGTCCCGACTGCTGTTCCTGGGCTGCATTATTTTTGTTACCAGAATGTGATGAAGTCTGGCTATTTCCTGTAATGCACATTAGGTTGGGTTTAATTTCAGTCTGACTTGGGTAAATTACTAACCATAAGCAAGAGCTGTTAGGTTCATTTTATAAATATGAAATAGAAGTAGTTATTGTTAGGATTTTTTATGTCATTTGAAATGCAAAGAAAGCAGGAACTAATTTGGGAGTTTTTTGCATTAGGTTTGGTCATATTAAAACTTGGTATGGAGGCCAGGAAGCCCTGAATTATCCTCTTCATTCTAGTTCTGCTAGAGGCTGGTGCCTTGTTAGCTGTCTAGACTAAGCCCAAAGAGGGGTTTGATGGGGAGATAGGGTCTTTGCATTTTCTAGCAATATGTTATGAGACAGTGTTCTGAAGAGACCTGTTATAGGATCAACCTCAGTCACTTTGCTTGTGTGCTTTGGTGTGTTTGCTCAGTTTTAAAGCATTGATTCTCATGTTTTACCTAGTAAAAGCATTAATTCAAGAGAGCTAAGCTAAACAATTTTGTTTCCCCAGGTTGGTATTTCTTTGATAGCAAGTAAGTCTGCACAAGAACCTAATTTGTATTATTTTCTGTTGATTTTCTATTTTGGTAGGAACTTGATCTCAAAATAGCAATTAAGTCTTGTCGCCTAGAGCTGAGTACCAAAAACAGAGAACGGTGGTGCCATGAAATCCAGATCATGAAAAAGTAAGTATACTTGACTTATATTTCTCGAGTTCTGCAGCCCAGCCAGAGAACATCATAGAGAAGGAGGCCAGGAATCCATTCTTCATAGGATCTTTTGAGGAGTATATTTTTCTATTTTTCATTAAGTAGATGTGTTCTATTTCAAATAACAACATCACATTATGACTAATTTAGTTTAAAAAGTCAGCTAGGTATTATCAGCTCTATGAGTACAGAATATGTTTCTTTTGGATCTTGAGCAGTGCTCATCTATTTAACTTCGTTGTTAAATAACAATAACTATTCTCATTTCTTACTTTCACCTAGTTTTGATAAATAGTTTATCTATTGCTTTGTAAAAATTACCCCAAAACTTAGTAGCTTAAAACAACAAACATTTAGAATTTCACAATTTCTGTGGTTTAGGAATTTGGGGATGACTTAACTGATAGTTTTAATGCAGATCTCTCCTGAAACATCCCAGAATGTTGAGTGGAGCTTTAGTCATCCAAAGGCTTGAGTGGGGCTGGAGTATCCACGTCCAGGCTCATTTATATGGCTATTGGTTAGAGGCATCAGTTTTTCACTATATGGGCTTCTTTATAGGGAAACTTAAATGTCTTCATGACATGGCAGCTAGCTTTCTCCAAAGTGAATGATCTGAGAGAGAGCAAGATGAAAGCTGACATATCCCTTAAGATCTTTCCTCAGAAGTTGTACTCCATCCTTTCTGCCACATTCTGTTTGTTAGAAATGAGTCACTAAATATAGCCCACACTCAAGGGGAGGAGTTAACCTCTTAAAGGGAGAAGTGGACATATTTTAAAACCTTCACGGGTAGGATGCGAGCTGCTTCATAAATAATTCTTCTAGTTACCACAGCAACCCCTGTATTTAGGTATTATTGCTATTTTATAGATGAGGAAGTTGAAGCTCAAAGAGTCATAAAATTGGTAGGTAAGAGATTCTGGCTTTGAAATAAGCACTTTCTGACTTCGATATCTGTTGTCAATTCACTTTAATGCTTTTCAAACTCAGAATTGCCAGGAAAGCTTGGTAAAAATATAAACTTTCAGGTTCTACATATAGAGATTCTGTTTCTTTAGGTCCCTAAGACCTAGGAATCTATTGCAGTTTTGAGATCCACTGCATGATGATGATGATGATGATGATGATGATGATGATGGCAGCTGGGATGATATATTTTAAGTTAAAAAAAGATGTTAGAAAACAATGTATAATGTGATGCAGTGTTTATTGAAAAAAATATATTTGTGCTCAACAGATTAAAATCTGGAAGGCAATTTGCCAAAATTTTTATAGTGTTCACCTCTGGGTAATTCTGTGATTATGGGAGAGGCAGTATGGTACATAGGCTTTGGAGTCAGACTGCCAGATTTTAATCGTTATTTGACCACCTACTTGCTGTGTCATCTTATGTTACTTAGCCAATTTGTGCTTTAGTTTTCTCCTGTGTGATGAGACTATTAATAACTCTACACATAATAGAATTATATGACAAGTAAGTGAGCTAATGTATATTAAGGTGCTTACTACTTTGCATATAGAAGTATAATTGTAGTAATAGTGATAGTATTTTTATTTACTAATTTTTAATTATACAAATCATGCCAACCTTTCTTTCCTCACTGCCCCTCAGTTAACTACCATTTCAAACCCATTCCCTTTCTGTTGGAAAAAAAAGTTGATTATAATTTTTTCCCCTTTTTGTTAGGTTGAACCACTCCAATGTTGTAAAGGCCTGTGATGTTCCCGAGGAACTGAATTTTTTGATTAACGATGTACCTCTTCTAGCAATGGAATACTGTTCTGGAGGAGATCTCCGGAAGGTAGTGTGGATGTTCTGAGATGATGAGATAGTAAATCATAAACTTTAACAGTGTTTGAATCACATTCAATATGATAATCTAGAATAAGTTTCCGTAAACTGCAGTGGCAGTGCTGAGTAGTTGTAACAGATACCACTGGCCTTCAAAGCCTAAACTATTTATTGTCTGTCTCTTTACGGGGAATGTTTGCTGACCTCTGATTTAGAACATGCATTCCTTTGTTAGTGGTGGTGTTTCTAGGGTGGGACTATATTCGTGGTGTTAGATTAAAATATCAATGTTTAAGGTGTTTATAAAAAAGTCCCCCTGCCCCCATCTTGTCTATTGTAAATAATGCTGCTATGGAACCAGAGGCATGGTTTCATGGAACACTGACAAATATCAGAGGGGGCGGGGAGGGTGGTGGTGGAGAGGACTGGATAAAGGAAGGTAAAGGAATTAGCTAAAGAATATATATGCATAGTCCTTGGACACAGACAGTAGTGTGAGGGCCAAGGGAGTAGGGGGTGGAGGCTGAGTGGTGGTGGGCAAAGGGGAGAAAATGGGGGACATCTGCAGTAGGGTCAACAATAAAAAATTTAAATAAAAATAAAGGTGTATTTTTTTTCAATTACAGTTTATTTTCAATATTATTTCATATTGGTTTCAGATGTACAGTATAGTGGTTAGACAATTATATACTTTACAATCCCCTGGATATTTCCAGTACCCCACTGCCATCATGCATAGTTGTCATAATATTATTAACTCTATTCTCTAGGCTTTACTTTACATCCCTGTGACTATTTTATAACTACCAATCTGTACTTCTTAATCCCTTCACTTCTTTCTCCCAGTCCCTCAACACCTCTCCTCAAAAAGTTTTTTCTTTTGTATTGCAAATCTTTCTTTCCCATCTTCTTTTAAATCTGCCATACGGATTTTTTATATACATATCTGTGAGATTTTTCAACCTTTTTTATTTCAAATACTTGATCTTTACTTGTAAGCCTTGTTATGAAATTTACATGTTCTCTGTGTGGATTTGGTAATTTTCCCCCTTCTTATATTTTCTTAATCATGACTTATTTTCTTATTTGAATATTTTCTTAGAGTATAGTGATTAATGTGTCACTGTTACTGCCCAGCAGCATTGGCAGTATACATTTTTAGTCCTTTTTTATTTTCTTTAGCTACTCAACAAACCAGAAAATTGCTGCGGACTTAAAGAAAGCCAGATACTTTCTTTACTGAGTGATATAGGTATGTAATCAATATGAAAATACCATCATGATTTAATGCCACCTTGGTTCATAAAAGATTCTATATGCTACTATAAAGCATAGATTTTAACATCTATAAGAAATTATCAGAAGATTTTAAGTGTTATTGTTGATGCTAAATTAAAACTAGGATATTTATTTTTTGTTTTGTTTTTGGGTAGCAGTCAATTTTTGGCTAATAGATGCTCCAGTTGCTGACAAAAATGGTGTTATATGACCTAATTTAATTTTGCTCTCTCTCCCTCCTTAATTAACATAGTAATTTCATTTAACAGTGGCATTACATCTGTTAAATAAGTTGTCAAGTCAACTCTTAGGGTGATATCTCTTTTTAATCAGAATAATTCCTGAAAAATCCCTAAAATAATCAGTACATAGGCCCTTAGAGCAAGCTCAAAAACTAAGAATATGTTTCCCTATGTATTTCCATTTTGCTTCTTTTCCTGGGTCATGGAGGCCAAAGCTTAGTTGAAAAGGGAGGGAAAGGCTACAAGGATAAGTATAGGGTTTTTCTAAATTGCTTTTTCCATTTCTTTTTAATGTTAATTCTCATAAATTAAATGAACATATTTCTGTAGTATTTGTTAAGTATTACTGGATTTTCTGTGGAGAAAATCTTAACTGCTGTAATATTAATTGAGTAGTTATGATGGTCCCTATAAATTTGAGCATTAGAGAAGTACACATTGTGAGATGATTTTTTTTAATTCAGTGTTTTCTCTTACCTCAAATTACATTTTAAATTTTACTTAGGGTCTGGGATCCGATATTTGCATGAAAACAAAATTATACATCGTGATTTAAAACCTGAAAACATAGTTCTTCAGGATGTTGGTGGAAAGGTAGGTGAAAACTGAAGAAATGTTCCCTGACAGTTGAATACAGTATCCCTGTGGTAGTTAGCCTTTGAAGTTTGGTGCCCTTCCATAGCGTTCTTTTTCTACACAGCCCTCACTATACTGAACTGTGGTTGTTTGTCTCCTCTGCTGCCACAGTAGCTCCGTTAGAGAAGGAACTGCACCTGTCTTGTTCACTTCTGTTTTTCCACAGTATCTAGCAGAAATGGTAGGCAGTGAGCAAATAATTTATTAATCCTTACAAGGCACATTAAAAAGCACACACATGCATCCTGGGTCTGCATTACTTAAAGAAAAAAAAAGCACATTTACTTAAGTATGTTTTATATATATTTTTTAAAAACCTCATTCTCCACAAAATCCCTAAGTTCTATATTTAATTAAAAATCAAAACTTGATTTCTCAGATTCTTAAATGAGTCATCTTGAGAGGAACCAAAAATTGTGAATTGATTCCTGAAATATTTGTTTTTATCAGAATAATTTGAGCCGTTTGTTTGCTGTTAGCACTGAAGTTCCATCCCAATAAATATGTAAAGCCAAGACTCTAAACTTTGAATTGGATTGTGTGGTCTTATAGTTAGTTAAGGTGGTGGTCAGCTAGAAGTGATGAAACCTCGATGATGCTTCTTCCCTTAGGAGGCTTTCATGTGTGCTTGGCAACAACTATCTCTCCCTTCTTTTGAATCCAAAGACTTCAGCATATTTTTGAGGTTAGATGGGTATTTCCTCACACTGATCCACTGTAAGATGATATGCTGCTTCTTCCTTTGGAAGTCACCTTTACCTTTGCCTTTCAGTATAATGGATCAAGTTTATTTTGAATATACCAAAATAAAAATTGATAGCCAATCTATATTTAGTTTTTATCATGTACAGGCACTGTGTTAAATTATTTTTGGGGGCTGTTTCTTTGAATCCTAATAACAGTTCTGTGAAGTAGGGATTGTTAGTAATATTATATAGGGAATCAAGAGAAGTTTAGGTAACTTGATCAAGATCATAAGGCTAGTTAAGTGGTGGAGCTCAGGCCTGAATCACATTTGTGTTATTCCAGAGCTCAAGCTCTTCACCATCACCCTCTCTAGAACCTTATCAGGACATTGTTGCCTTTCCATTTCAAATTTCTCAACCATTTAATGCTTATTATTTTGTAGATTATACATAAAATAATTGATCTGGGATATGCCAAAGATGTTGATCAAGGAAGTCTATGTACATCTTTTGTGGGAACGTTGCAGTATTTGGTAAGACATGTATTGTTTCTTTGAATTTAAATATTCCAAATTATCTTATTTATGAAGGTCATAAATATACATAGTAGTTCAAAAATAAAGTACCTTTTCTTTTACAATATGACATTTAAAGCATTTCTTTTCTTTTTAAGGCCCCAGAGCTCTTTGAGAATAAACCTTATACAGCTACTGTTGATTATTGGAGCTTTGGGACCATGGTATTTGAGTGTATTGCTGGATATAGGCCTTTTTTACATCATCTGCAGCCATTTACCTGGTAAGAAATGGAAGAGTACTTCAGTGTGCTTAATGTGAATGAAAATTTTCAGTAACTTGCTTTTTTTCTCCTCTCTTTAAGTGGTATAATTTCCTTTTAAACGCATAATTGAATAAAATTAAATGGCAAAAAGCTTAGAGATATTTTGTGAGTCAGGTTGTCTACTGAGGTAGCTTTTGTTTTTTATAGGCATGAGAAGATTAAGAAGAAGGATCCAAAGTGTATATTTGCATGTGAAGAGATGACAGGAGAAGTTCGGTTTAGTAGTCATTTACCTCAACCAAATAGCCTTTGTAGGTAAGTATATTTCAGTTCACCTGTTTCTTCAGGGTTGTAAAAGGGCAGTAGAATGGTCTGTTTCAAGTATTATCATCCAGTAGAACTTTCTGCTATGGTGGAAATGTTTTATATTTGCTGACCACATTAGGTTCTTGAGCACTGAAAGGTGAGTGATATGATTGAAGAACTAAATTTTAAATTTTATTTAATTTTAATTAACTTCAGTGTAAATGCAAATAGCCACTTGTGACTAGTGGCTCCCATGTTGGACAGCACAAGTCTAGTGGAGACAATAACTGCTGCCATTCACTTGATTGGCTTAGTTGCTAAGAAGACTCTTGGGATACTGAAGTAAATGTGTCCCTTGGAGAAGAGAACTGGACTTGCCTCGAGTTGCCAGCAACTAACTTACACATGTGGGTTTTGGTTTGTTGTTTTTTCTTAGAGAGAGAAAGGGAGAGAAAAAAACATAGATGTGAGAGAGAAACATTCGGTTGCCTCCCATATGCACCGTGACTGGGGATTGAACCTGCAACTTGGATATGTGCCCTGACCAGGAATTGAACCTGGACGGGACAACATTCCAACCAACTGAGCTGCAATGGCCAGGCTGGGTTGTTTTTTTATGGAAAAAGTTTGTCCCCTATCATTTCATGAATTATTTATTTTTATTATTATTTTTACCCAAGGATATTTTTCCCATTGATTTTCAGAGTGGAAGGGAGGGGAGAGAGGGGAGAGGGGAGGGAGGGAGGGGGGGAAGGGAGAAAGGAGAGAGAGAAACATTGATGTGAGAGAGACACACCAATTGGTTGCCTTCTGCAAATGTCCCGAATGGAGCCAGGAAGGACCTGCAACCCAGGTATGTGCCCTTGACTGGGAATCGAACCCGTGACCCTCTGGTGCATAGGCCGGCGCTCTCACCATTGAGCCATGCTAGCCAGGGCTATTTTTATTTATTTATTTTTTAGCCTTAACCAAGGAATGAGAGAGAGAAACATTGATCAGTTGCCTTCTGCACGCATCCCAACTAGGGATTGAACCCACAACCCAGGCATGTGCCCTGACCAGGAATTGAATTGTTAACCTTTTGGTGCCCAGGATGATGTTCAGCCAACTGACCCACTCTGGCTGGGCCATTTCATGAATTATTTGAAAGTAAGATACAAAATGGTACAGACAAATAATGAGAAAGGAAATGGACAACCTATAAAATTAACTTTTTTACAGTACTAAAGGAATATTGGAACAAGGATTTTCACCCTATTTTTGTATGTTTTGTAGTTTAATAGTAGAACCCATGGAAAATTGGCTACAGTTGATGCTGAGTTGGGATCCTCAGCAGAGAGGAGGACCTATTGATCTTACTTTGAAGCAGCCAAGATGTTTTGTATTAATGGATCACATTCTGAATTTGAAGGTTAGTTTCTTATGAATGGGGTCTATTTCAGAAGACTTGCATTAAATTTAACAAGTTTATTTGGAAAATTAGTATTAAATATATTTTAATAGTCTTTTCCTGATACTTATTTGAAAAAGAAAATTATTTTTTTAGAGTAGATGTGTTTTTATTTTTTTAGTAAGCCTTCTCAGTTTTACTTTTAAGTGGTCTTTGCTTTGAAGCATCTTTTGGATTTTCCCCTTCCTCAGATTGGGGCCTCATTCATTTAGGTCTGGACTTGGTTTGGTGAGAAAGGTTTCTACCTGCCTTACATGCCTCTATAGTTCTACCCATTTTATAATCCATGCAGCATGAACTGCCCATCTCATCTTTTAAAAATACATTTTTATTTCCCTGTCCAAGAAACCAACATAGTTCTTCCTTGCCTACCAAGTCAACTTTAAAGATTCCCTTCTCTTCTCTTTTCTACCTTTTTTAAACATAAAGGGTTATTATATATTAAAGGAAAGTTAATGCTTTACCTCTGTAATAAGCATTTCCAGCAGATATAATTTTAATCTACAGGGGTATGCAAAAATAAGTTTACAATTGTGAGTACGTGAAACAGAGTTTATTCTTGTTATATCATTTCCTTATTAATTATTATACTTCTAATTATTCTTATTCTTATTAACCCCTTTTCTCACCCCTGTACACTGTCAATGTAAAGCATTGGAAAAACAAAGCTATTGCTTTGTATAGCTTATCTAAGGACAGTTGGGAGGAAGAGGATTTAAAATCATGTTAAAAAAACTGACCTCTAACTCTGGGGCCTCTAACTCTTGGTTATCTCACCTAACTCAGTTTCACACTTAGTTCGCCTGTATTAGGCTACCCCTACCTTCAGTGGGTCTTTAGGTAAGAGTATTTTCTTTTTCTTTTTTTTTATTGCTTAAAGTATTACAAAGAGTATTACATATGTTTCCTTCCCCCCCACCCCTTGACATTCCCCCGGCCTCCCCTACCCCCCAGTGTCTTGCGTCCATTGGCTATGCTCATATGCATGCACACAAGTCCTTCGGTCGATGTCTTACCCCCCCCCCCCCCTTCCACCCCCCAACCCTCCCCGGCCTTCCCGCTGTAGTCCGACAGTCTGTTCGATGCAGCTCTGCCTCTGTATCCATTTTTGTTCATCAGTTTATAATGGTCTTTATTATCCATAAATGAGTGAGATCATGTGGTATTTTTCTTTGATTGACTGGCTTATTTCACTTAGCATAATTCACTCAAGAGTATTTTCTTAATCTAACTTTGGGCCCTTAAGATTTATCACTGCTATGGGATTTGGTTTCCTTATCCTATATAATAAAAACCTAATATGCTAAATGTCTGACCGTTCATTCGACCAGCCGCTATGACACGCACAGACCACCAGGAGGCAGATGGTCTGACTGGTAGGTTAGCTTGCTGCTGGGGTCCAGCCAATTGGAACTGGGCGAGATGGGCCGCACACGCCCAGGACAAATCCGTGCACTGGGCCTCTAGTCTGAAAAATAAGACTCATAATACTTCTTGTTTAAAGAGAGGCCTATCTCTTCTATCATAATTATTTCTTGAGACAATGTAAGGTAGTCAGTTATCAGCTGTGTGATCCCTCAGAGTTCTGTTTTTTTTCCTGCCAGAATGGAGATTAGAAGATCTAATTCATGGTGTAATGTTAAGTATAACTTAGCTAATTAATGGGATGTTATATTAAGCATAAAGCACTTAACTCTGTGGTTGGCATCTATTAGGTACTTCATAAATGGGAATGTTTCCTTCCAGGTCTGTGAAATGTTTCTCAGAATAAGTAAGTGTTGCCTTTTTAAATTGGGGTTTTTGTGCATTCCTAGGACTTTGTGCATCCCTAGAATTTGAAATTTTATTCCTTGGAACTAACGTTTGTTATAGTAGAAAAGTAAATTCTTGAGTTTTCACATGTCATTTTATAATTATAGAAGGAGATTACACTTTGGAAAATGATTGAACCTTGCATAGAACAAAGATAATGCCTTTTGCTCATATTCCCTTTATTATCTTGCACTGAATTTTTTATGTAGCAGGTGGTTAATAATCATTTTTCTTTCTTCTTATATATACAGATAGTACACATCCTAAATATGACTTCTGCAAAGATAATTTCTTTTCTTTTACCACCTGATGAAAGTCTTCATTCACTGCAGTCTCGTATTGAGCGTGAAACTGGAATAAATACTGCTTCTCAAGAGCTTCTTTCAGAGACGGGAATTTCTCTTGATCCGCGGAAACCAGCCTCTCAATGTGTTCTAGATGGAGTAGTAAGTAAATTTTAATATATCTAAAATTCTAATATAAGAAATCTGTTTGCATAGAGAGATTGCATGCCCTGCATTTTTGGATGTGTATTTGAAATCCTCTGGGGGATTATGCACATCTCATAATTCTTTTACTTTTATCCCATTCATTTCTCCTACTGCTTTGCAAGATGAGCAAGATAGAAGTGAAACATTTGGTATTTTGAACGTGCTATGACTTTTTCTTTGGTGCTAGCTCTCTCCTCCTCCTTTTTTTCCCTTTTTGTAATTGAAACCTAGAATCTTAAAATTAGACCAGCAGTCTTATAGGTCCTGCTAGAGGATAGGTGGATGATAAAATATGATTGTGGTCATGACCCTTTTTTCATTTTATTTGACTTTATTGAGGCATATTTAAATATTAAATAGCTTATCCATTTCAAGTGTATAATTTAGGTTTTTTTGGGGTTTTGTTTTAGCAAATTTACTTAATTGTGTAGCCATCACCATGAATCAGCCTTAAAACATTTCCATCTCAGTAAGATTCTTCATGTCCATTAACTGTTAATCTCCATTCTGCCCACCCAAGGCAATCGCTAATTTACTTTATATATCTATAGATTTGCCTTTTCTGAACATTTCACATAAAGGGACCATACAACCTATAGTCTCTTGTGTCAGACTTTTTAAGGTTCATTCTTGTCATAATATGAATCTGTACTTCATTCCTTTCTATTACTAAATAACGTTCCGATTATATGGGTATATGTTGTTATGACTTTTTTTGCTTTTGTCCTTTTGGGTCTGGTGATTGTTTTCACTTTAACCCATACTAAAGTTATTTATTTTTCCTAAACAAAGTATGCTAATGAACATTGACTTTGTTCATTTGCATTTCACTGGTACTTGGAGAACCTATGATTAGCAAGTGTATTTTAAAAAATTGTTTCTTTGTTTTTCAGAGAGGCTGTGATAGCTATATGGTTTATTTGTTTGATAAAAGTAAAACTGTATATGATGGACCATTTGCTTCCAGAAGTTTATCTGACTCTGTAAATTATATTGGTAAGTCTAGTCCATTTACTGACTGAGATTTAAACCTGAAATGATATCATTTGATTGAACATGATTAGTAGAAATGGTTTTTGGTGTTTTTGTTTTGTATCTCATACTTTAGCTTACTATTTCCGGTGAAAAATTTCTATAGTTTGGAATGTGAAAAGGTAGGTTTTAAATCACCACCAGATCCCTCATTTGGGAAAAGGCTTACTTTCCTCAGGATAGCCCTCTCACGGATGAATGACTCTCCATTATTCATTAAGCCTACTTTTTAGTTTATTTTTCATTATTTAAGTATGCTCAAATATTTCATTTTATTCTATGAATACTGCTTAATGTTCAATTGTTTTCATTTATTCTGTGAGAATTATTCTTTACTTTTGAAGAAGGTAGCTGTCAATATCTGTCTACCCCAAACTAAAATCAAGCACAAAATTGTAAAATCAAGAAAATTGTGCATAAGGGCTAAAATTATTTAATCTTTCTTCTGTTACCCTTTAATTAGTTTTTTTAAGGACAAATTTACAGAAAAAATGATCAGATAGTAGTACAGAGTTCTCATGTTATCCTTCCCCTCATTTGTAACATCTTACATTAGTGTTACAATAAATGAGCCAATATTTATTATTAACTAAAGTCCATATTTTATTCAGATTTCCTTAGTTTTTATCTGGTGTCCTTTATCTGTTCTAGGATCTCATCCAGGATACCACATTGCATTTAGTTGTTATTCTCCTTAGGTTTTTCTTGGCTGTGACAGTTTCTCAAACTTTCCTTGTTTTTTATGACTTTGACTGTTTTGAGGAGTACTGGTCAAGTATTTTGTAGGATGCCCCTCTGTTGCAATTTGTCTAATTTTCCCCCCTTCATGATTAGACTAAGATTATGGTTTTTGAGAGAAAGATCACAGAAGTACCATTCTTATCTATAATAATAAAAGTGTAATATGCTAAGTAGACTGGACGTCCTCCTGGACGACCTTCCAGATGAAGCCGGGGCTGCGATGGAAGCCCAGGTCCCGGGTGCCTGCTGGTGGCCAGAGGGAAGCCCAGGTCCCAGGTGCCGGAGGGAAGCCAGTGCCCAGAGCCGGGGAAAGGAAGTCCTACTCTTGCATGAATTTCGTGCATCGGGCCTCTAGTTACATTATATAAAGGGTACATACTATCAACATATGTATGCTGTTGTTGTGATCCTTGATCACTTGGCTAAAGTGGTGTTTGTCAGGTTTTTCCACTGTGTAGTTTAGTCTCCCCCGATCCTCCTTCCAATGCTGTACTCTTTGGAAGGAAGTCACTATGTGGAACCCACATTTAAGGAGTGGGAAGTTATACTCCCCTTCCTTTAAGGTAGGACACCTATATAATTTACTTGGAATTTTTCTGGATACAAGATTTGTCTCTTCCATTTATTAATTTATTCAATTATATCAATCCTAGGGGGCCAGTGCACGAATTTGTGCACCTTGAAAGGAACTGTGGCTCTGAGGCTGCGGTAGGCACAGGGGCGGGTCTCAGCCCATCCTCTGTGCCCCCGCCGAGCTCCTCCTGCCATGCCCCCAGTTCCCTGTCTGCCAGCAGCCTCGCTTCCACCATCACCGCCGGCCCCGCTCCCACCCACTGACGGCGTGGAGTGATTGGGGCCAGTGCCAAGAGCAGGTGCGAGCAGGGCCAGTGCCATCAGTGGGTGTGAGCAGCAGCTCTGGCCCCATCAGCGGTGCAAGTGGGGTTGGCGCCGACAGCAGGTGGGAGCACTGGGCAGGACTGCGGTGCAGGGGAGCAAGGAATTTTCAGTAACCACCAGAGGCTTGCCCCGATGACAGTGACCAGCACCCCACCTTGGTCTGGCGCCCCCACTCATCTGCTCCTCCACCATCCTGCCGTGGCCAACGCCCGCCATGTTCCATGCACACCCCCTGGTGGTCAGCGCACATCATAGCGACCGGTTGTTCGGTTGTTCCGCTATTTGGTCTATTTGCATATTAGCCTGTTATTATATAGGCAGATAGATTCATAGATATTTATTTTATACTTTGAATTCTAATCTCATACTAGTTTATTTATTTTATTAAAATCGCTGCAGCTTTGGCCATTAGAAGTTTTTTTACTTTTTAAAAATATGTTTTTATTGATTTCAGAGAGGAATGGAGAGGGAGGGAGAGATAAAAACATAAATGATGAGAGATAATCATTGATCAGCTGACTCCTACACGCCCCACACTGGGGATCGAGACTGCAACACGGTCATATACCCTGACCAGGAATGGAACTATGACCTCCTGGTTCATAGGTTGATACTCATACCACTGAGCTATGCTGGCCAGGTGAGAAGCTCTTTTAATTGGCTTCCTTGCCTCTTTTACTTGCCTCATCAATGAGAATTTTCTTTTTTTAGTACTTCCTTACTTCCTGGCACTACACAATCTATTCCAGGCTCAACTTGTATATTTCCTGCCCCAGTGCTAGAATCAGCCATTTTTCCAAGATACCTTGGTACCTTTTTTGGAGAACAGTATTAGAAAACAATTGGGACACTAGGTGCGATTCTTGCTACTGGGTATGATTTCTTAAGTCCTTTCAGACTTTATCGAGAGAAACAGAGAGAGAGAGAGAGATTGAAATTGTTTATTTTGGCCAGGCTTCCCTTCAAGACTCCTTTTAAAAAGTGTTTTGTTTACTGTAGGAAACCTCAGCAATAAGTGTGATTATATAAGAAGAAAGATTAATCAAGGCTATTAATAATTATTAGGGAGGCAAAGATTTTTCTAGATATGGAACTTTATGTTTTTGAAGTCTGCTTCAGATAATCTGTTTTTTCATTATGAACCCTAGTGAATCAGCCTTTCTCTGAAAGTTTTCATTCGAAAAGAATAACAATATAATTGCCACCTTAGAGTATAGGATACCTCTTTCACATCTACATAATTTCATAACATTAAAATGGCATTTCATTGAACTTAACAAACATCCACACCTGCCATGATTTTAGAAAGTAGTATTCCCTTTACCAAAGAAAGAGCAAGAGAATTATAAATAGATAAGAAAGCATATCTTATTAAGCTGCTATTTACTCTGTATGTTTTCCTGAAGCTGGGTTGGTAGTTCAGGAGCTAACAATTTATTATTCAGAGGCAGAAAAGACCATAGGAGATTGTGGAAGAGATGGGACTTGATTTAAAAATTGAAAGAATAGCCAAAACCGGTTTGGCTCAGTGGATAGAGCGTCGGCCTGCGGACTGAGGGGTCCCGGGTTTGATTCCGGTCAAGGGCACGTACCTGGGTTGCGGGCACATCCCCCGTGGGAGATGTGCAGGAGGCAGCTGGTCGATGTTTCTCTCCCATCGATGTTTCTAGCTATCTATCTCTCTCCCTTCCTCTCTGTAAAAAATCAATAAAATATATTTTAAAAAAAATAAATAAAAAAAATAAAAATTGAAAGAATAAAGAATTTATATTAGCAAAAGAAAAAAACAGTATTCCAGGTTGAAGGAAAGCAAGAAAAAGAAACAGATTATAGGAATAATCTCAGGCTTTGGGATTATGTAGTGATTATGTCTTATCTTTATTTTCCCTTGTATCAGGAGCAGGGTTTGTGTATTACAGGTGCTCAGTAAATGTATGTTGAACTGAATGAAACAGTAACAAGTGGTTCTTTCTAGCATCCATGGGAATGATATTTGTAAGGATTGGAAATCAAAGAATGATTAATGAACTCTAAAATCTTAAAAAGTAACTCGTCTCTTTTTCTCTCTTACCTATAGTACGGGACAGCAAAATACAGCTTCCAATTATACAGCTGCGTAAAGTGTGGGCTGAAGCAGTGCACTATGTGTCTGGGCTAAAAGAGGACTACAGCAGGCTCTTTCAGGGACAAAGAGCAGCAATGTAAGTGGATCCTTTTGTTTACAGTGACAACGTCATGCACATTAACGTTCAAGAATTAATCTTGCCAGTTTTCACAAATAATTTTTCATGCAATACTAAAATATTGGACCAATTTGAAATGTAATTTTCTGATCAGACTTGTAGACTTCTTACTAATGATATGAAACCATTCAGTTGCAATGGCTTGAGAGTAGTTTTTGAGCAGAACGTCTTAGTATAAAAGAAACTGTGTTGCCACAAACAGAAAGTCTTTAGAGACTAGATTCTACAGATCAGCTATTTCTCATAGATTGATAATAGAAACTTAGGCATTGGGCTTATGGCAATATAGTTTTAAAATTTTTGTTCAATATTTATGAAATGTTAATTTTTAAATTTTTTTTGGCTATGGTTTAGGTTAAGTCTTCTTAGATATAATACTAACTTGACAAAAATGAAGAACACTTTGATCTCAGCATCTCAGCAACTGAAAGCTAAACTGGAGTTTTTTCACAAAAGCATTCAGCTTGACTTGGAAAGATATAGTGAGCAGATGACTTATGGGATATGTAAGTTTTGGGGTAAAGTATTTGAAATAAGGGTCTAGTCCAGGGGTGGGCAAACTTTTTGACTCGAGGGCCACAATGGGTTCTTAAACTGGACCGGAGGGCCGGAACAAAAGCATGGATGGAGTGTTTGTGTGAACTAATATAAATTCAAAGTAAACACCATTACATAAAAGGGTACGGTCTTTTTTTTTTTTAGTTTTATTCATTTCAAACGGGCCGGATCCGGCCCGCGGGCCGTAGTTTGCCCACGGCTGGTCTAGTCTTTTGAAGCCCTCTGCTATTTTGCCTCCTTGCCTTGTATCAATTGTTTCTCTTGCATTCAAGATTAGAATAAGAGACATGTTTGTTTTGAATATTAGCTTTTATTTTAACGTTTAGTTGAACAACTTAACAGGAATCTTCCCCTCCCCCAATTGGACCAAAGTTAAGTTGTTTAGCTCCTGAAAAATACAAAAGTGATTTAAGAATTTATGATTTTCAAGCTCCATATAAAAAACTAGAGGCCCGGTGCACGGATTCATGCACTGGTGGGGTCCCTCGGCCTGGCCTGCGGGGAACAAGCCAAAACCAGCTCTTCAACATCCCCTGAGGGGTCCCGGATTGCGAGAGGGCGATTGTTGGGTGATGCACCCCGGAATCGGGCTCCTTCCTCTCTGGTTCCAGGTGTGTCACCCAAGACTGCAGCTGTCAAGTCACCGCAGCTTGGCAGCTCCTGCATTGAGCGTCTGCCCCCTGGTGGTCAGTGCGCATCATAGCTACCAGTCAGACATTCGCTTAGGCTTTTATATAGATAGGTAGATACAAAATCCATATTGGAGTGACTTCTTAGCCAGGGAAATCCTAAATTACTTATCTTTCTGTAAATAACACAAATAATTCTGTGTTTTTTCCCCAAACCACCTACTATGTAAGTCCCACTTTTTTATTTTTCAGTATTTGACTTCAAGCTTATTTCCCTTCAGATACACTAAGGAAATGTAAAGAGCAGAGTTAAAATCAAATAATAAATTGAAGAGGTCACCACCAGCATTTCTGTTTGTTTTTTCCATTGAAACAAATCCTTTTTTTATCTGGTTTGTATACTTGTCTTGAATAAGGTGTGTGTATCTTAGAATAAGTGATCAGCAGTGTCCAGGTGGGTGAATAAATTTATCCACTAGAGCTGGTTATGATTGATGTTTTATTTCTAGTTATGTATTATAGGTATTCTGGTATTATAGGTATAATGGCAAAACATTATTTCATCAAATTATCTTGACTTATCTTGTCAGTTGTATATCTGATACAGCGGTTAAAAGAAAGTAAAGTAGAAAGAATCCATATCAGCTCTATTTAAGATTAAATACATAAGTATCACTCAAAAAAAAAAAAGTGAGGTAGACATACATGTGCTGATATTAAAAGATCACTTGGATCTTTAATGGCAGTGATGTTTTAATTTGGGGAATAAAAGCAAAGAAAGGCAGGCATGTATAGATAGTCTCACTTGTGAAGGAAAGGGTATGTGTCTGTATAACATTAAATTAAGATCCCATAGGATGGAGTGTGGAGAGGAGGAAGAGTTTTCTTTTTTATATCCTTTTATAATGTTTGATTTTTAAAAAGTCATTTTCATGTATCATTTAAATAATTTTATTTCTTCTTTTGAAAGAGAAAACCATCTGTATTAGTGTCCTAGGGATGCCATAACAAATTACTATAAATTGGGTGGCATAAAACAACAGAAATTGCCCAGCTGGGTATGGCTCAACTGTTGAGCATCGACCCAGGAACCAGGAGGTCACCTGTTTGATTCACAGTCAGGGCATATGCCTGGTGGGTGTGCAAGAGGCAGCCAATCAAATGATTCGCTCTCATCACTGATATTTCTATCTCTTTCTCCCTCTCCCTTCCTCTCTGAAATCAATAAAAATATATATTTTTAAAAAACACAAAAAAACAGAAATTTAGCATCTGACAGTTCCAGAGGCTAAAAGTCTACTCTCAAGGTGTTGGCATGACCATGATCCCTCTGAAACTTGTGGAGAGGAATCCTTCCTTGCTTCTTCCTGGCTTCCGGGACGTTTATCAGCAATCCTTGGCATTCCTCGGCTTGCAGCCGTAGCACTTTAGTCTCTGCCTCTGTCGTCAAATGGAACTCTCCCTTCATATATCTGCCTCTCTGTGTCTCTTCTCTTCTTTTAAGGACCCTAGTTATACTGGATTAACTGTCCACCTACTCCAGATTGACCTCACGTTAATTTAGCCAACTATCTGCAGTGACCCTATTTGTAAATAAGGGCACATTCTGATGTACTGAGTTAGGGTTTCAGCATAACTTTTGGGGGGATGCAACCCATGACACCATTTTTGATGTTGACAGTCATGGAGGTGGGTAGGTCAGTAATTAAAACTATGACTGTTTCTGAAATAACCAATTAAAACTTTTTTTTTTTTTTAGCCTCAGAAAAAATGTTAAAAGCATGGAAGGAAATGGAAGAAAAGGCTATCCATTATGCTGAGGTAAAATCACTGAGCTTGTTCTGTGTGTTTATTTATTTCTGAGTTCTCCCTTAGAAACTTTCTTTGGTTTTGATATGTAGAGTATCTTTCATGTCATTCTGAATATCAACTATCTATAGTTGATATAGTGGGGAAAAATAAAGGTGTTTTGTGTATATAGTGGATAAAAAATAAAGGTGTTGGACAAATGAGACTACTAGTAAACTAAAGCCTCCATGAGCTTCAGTTTCCATATTATATTATGGGGACTATACATACCTTTTCTAGTAAGGTATGCAGATTGAATGGTAATAAGTGGCAGTTATCACTGTAAAACAACAGTGATATACAACTGGTTTAGATAGGATGGCTGCACATCCTGATTTACCTAGGTCAGTCCATTTGCACCTGTCTTGCCATACTTATCAATGGTACTTTCATTGTCAACATTATGCAGGTTTGGACAATAAATTATATGGTCACATTAGGTATAGGTTATTCTCTAGGTGACAGATTCCTCCCTTACATTTGTCTATGGTCCTACTAAATTGTTGTTGTCCTTGGTGTGAAAACTTACCCTAACAACACGGGTGGGACAGTTAGTATCTTGGGGTGGGAAATCCAGTGTCTTTATCATTCTTATTTCAAGGCAGTTGGGAAGAAGAGACAATGAAAATCATAGAACTGAGATGAAGTGGTTTTGATGGTCATTTTCTCTCTGTGTTGTTAGTGACACATATTCTTTTACTTCTCAGGAGGAGGAAGCAAATGCTAGTAGTTTACTGTTGTTAGGAGAGAAAAGTGAGAAGCTAGGAATAAGTATGTTCTCGTGTGAAAGATTGTCAGAATCTGAAAGATAAAAGACTTACATAAAATCAGTATTTCCTATTAAATCATTTATTTCTCCTCTTCAGGAGTCATTCTTTGTCTGAGTTCTTCTCTGTATTGTGTGGTGGTGAGCCTGTCATTCCTTTTACGTTTCATCATACTGTAGGTAGGTGTCATTGGATACCTGGAGGACCAGATCATGTGCCTGCACACTGAAATCATGGAGCTACAGAAAAGCCCTTATGGAAGACGTCAGGGAGACTTGATGGAATCTCTGTAAGGACATACTCATGTATTTGTATTGGTATTGGTATTTATAATTTTTTGTAGCAGATCACTCCTTCTGTGTACTTCTGGCATATTTAGTCTATATGTGTTTATTTTCTATAGTTTTCCTTTCCCCAAATATCTTGGCATCATTTTTAAAAAGGAAGTTTTTTCTTCATCACTGGAAATTTTGGAAATAACTCTTAGGGTTGACCTCTGCTATTTTAATCAAAGAATCTTTTCAATGTGACTGTTAAGAATTTTTCAAGTATTCTAAGTTACAAACTATTTCCCTACTTACCATAGGTATTGTCTATTAAATGCCCTAAATGAGGTTAAATTCCTAAATGTTTGGATTAGAAACTTCAGATATTTGTCTCTAATCACAAGCCATAATTTTTGCACATTTAAGTGTTTCTGGTGCAAGGATCAGATATGTGGTGGTAGACCACAGCGGATAAGAAGTATATTACACTTTGCATTTTAAGATCTTGCTTATCACTCAGTGAAATTCTCTGTAAAATATTCATTGGCAATATATACTTTAAAATTGGATCATTATTCTCTTCAAATAATATTATTCATTTCAAGTTGTGGATTATTAGAGTCATTAAATTATCTTCACATAGAAACATATTTTCTCTTTTGTAGGGAACAGCGTGCCATTGATCTGTATAAGCAGTTAAAGCACAGACCTCCAGGTAAGACACTTTCATCATAGTACACAAAGGCATTATAAGAAACCATCCCCAGCCTAACAAATCCTAGGGATTGGATTTTAAACCAGCTGCAGAATAAGTTCCAGTTTTGGTATTTCAATTGAGATATTTATATGTAACAGCTTTTAGTTTGTGAGAATTTAAGAGATTAGGAAGGCAAAGTTACAAGAAAATTGAGATAAAAAAATTTTTAAGGAAAACTTGAAAGGAAGGAATAAAAGAGGGAAAGGGGAACTCAAAGAGGAAGAGGAAGCAAGAAAATGTGGGAAAGTTGGAAAAAAATAAGTGCTGCTTAAGATTAGAGAGGGTGGTAGGGAGTTGATGCTACAGGTTCAGGTGTGGAATGGTCAGAGAGAAGCTCATGTGCTGGGCCAAAGCAATTTACCTTGAAAATGAGGCTTTCATCTAACCTGGTCACTGGTTGCTTACTTCATTGGCAAAACAATTCTTTTTGAACATCTGTTGAATACAGAACATAGGCTACTGGAAAGAGCATAGGATTGGGAATTGGAAAGCTTGAATTCTAGATTGGGCATTTTCCTGGCCAACTAACTTGGGCAAATTACCTAATCTCTCTCCATCTCCTTTCCCTTTTCTGCAATATGGGGTTGAAACCTAGCTTTACTAACTCAGTGCATGTGTGTGTGGTATTGTATAATGCTTTAGAAACTATAAAGTATTATGTACCTTCAAGATATTAACCTTTAGTTAAAAATTGATTTGTTTTGAAGGGTATCTCTGGGTCCTTTCATTAGTGTATGAGATTTGGCTTAAGTCAGTTAGCTTTTTCTAAGTTTTTATGGGCAGTGAACAGATGAATAAACATGAAAATCCAAGCAATCTAGTTGGAGCAAAAGCCTCCTTCCTTCGAGGCAGTGAAAGTTAGATGAATTATCCTGTTTCTAAATAAATGATGTTTATTACCCAAGAAAGATTGATCTCTCGGCTAAAAGGCTGCATGTGTCTGAGGCTTGGGTTAGTATGGGTTAAAGGTAGCTGAGGATACAATGATAAATGTATATATCTATGTATGCACAAACACATACTTTTAGATATATAATTATAGATATATAATCTTAAAATCATCTCAGTTTTGAATTTAAGTGGAGATGTTATCAATTAAAACTAGTTTCAGATTTTTAGGCATTTTTGTTTGGAGGCTGACATGTTCATGCAGAAGAGAGGTTATACCCACTGACTGAGGTCTTTTATAGATCACTCCTACAGTGACAGCACGGAGATGGTGAAGATCATTGTGCATACTGTGCAGAGTCAGGACCGGGTTCTGAAGGAGCTGTTTGGTCATCTGAGGTAGAAAAATAATTTTATTTCCTATTCAGAAGCCAGGGTATTTTTATCAGATTTCTTCCAAAGTATAATATTCCTTTTGATAAATACATTAGATTTAGGAAGAGTTCTGGCAGTGTCTTGGGTATCTTGACCACCACTGTGTACATTTAGGTGTCCTGTCTTTGTGCATTGCTTTGGAGATCAGACATTAAATATGCCTCTGATTGTGGTTTATTTACTTACCTGGGTTTGGGAGTATGTTGTATAGTCTTGGGGGATGTGTAAGGGTCTGACTTTGATTTCATCTCTCTAGCAAGTTGTTGGGCTGTAAGCAGAAGATTATTGATCTACTGCCCAAGGTGGAAATGGCCCTCAGTAACATCAGAGAAGCTGACAATTCTGTCATGTTTATGCAGGGAAAGAGGCAGAAAGAAATATGGCATCTCCTTAAAATTGCCTGTGTAAGTAACTTTTAGTGAATTATTTAATGTGACATTGATATGCTCTTATTCCCTGCAAAAGGAATTTTTGTCAGCATGACCTGGGTCCTCTCGAATGTGTATATTGTGTTGGGTTGATGCTTGTGTTCTTTGCTTGGTGTCTGACAGCAGTTCAGATGAAGGACTTCATGATCACGCTTCATTATCTTTCCTTTCCAGTCTCTGTTTTTATACACCTCCAAGCCCTAGACCACTATGGTATCCCAACCTGATTTGGGGTTAGACATGCCTGACTAGTTAATCAAAAAGATCTTTTGTTCAAGTGGGTTTTTTTTTTCCTTCCAACTAAAGTGGAATAAGGTGGGTAGATACATTTGGTTTTAGTCACTGAAGAATGGGCTGGGGACAGGATAGTGATATGTAATACCCACGACTGGAAATAGTTTTGTGCAGAAATACTCTGGGTGTACATATAAGTTGTGATAGAAATGTAAGTCTTAGGAATATGGTAGGAAGTTGTTTAAATTAGCGAAGATGCTTGTCTATAATCTTTTTTTTCCCCCTTCAGACACAGAGTTCGGCTCGGTCCCTTGTAGGGTCCAGTCTAGATGGTGCAGTAACTACCCCTCAGGCATCAGCATGGCTGCCCCCGACTTCGGCAGAACGTGAACATCCTCTGTCATGTGTGGTAACTCCTCAAGATGGGTGGGTTCACTTTGTAACAAGATAGTTGTTTTTATAAGCAGTGATAGGAATGAGGCAGTAGAGCATAGTGGTTAAGGCATAGTCTTCAGTGCCCTATAGACTAGGGTTGAGTCCTGACTGTCCTTTTGTAATAACTTTGTGCAATTAAGTTAACTCTTTTAATGTTCACATTTCCTCATCTGCAAAATGGGAATTGCTGTGAAAAGTCAATTAGACAACAAATGTAAAGTACTGGGAAGTAAATATGTATTCAGCAAATGTTACTTATTAGTTCAATTCATATTCTAAGTTCTCTCTCTGTTATTGGCTTATCAGTTCTTTTACCCAAACTTTATTCTTCCCATAATCATTGATCTCTGAGAAATTTTGCTGTCCATTTGCATTTATCATTTTGGGGTCCTGATCACCCTTCTGATAAATGATTGAGTTTAATCTACTCTATTTTATAACTTAGTGTTTCTAACATCAGACTTTTTTAATGCCTTAAATCAGTTTTGCAAATAAGAACTGAAGTTTGAAGCCCTATATTTTCTTTTATTAATTCCTACTCTTCTGCTAAAAGCTGAATGACTATCCATTTCTGTTATTTTTCTCAGCGTAAGATGTGCCGTATCCAGAGCCAGTGGCTCTTTGCTAGCTTGTGTATTGTCGCTTTTCTCACAATTCATGGAGACCTCTACAGCACCAGCATTTCCTGGAAGCTCTGCCCATAATTAGTTTTGCAGAAGTGCAGCCATGTTACATCACTGCTCAGGAGGTCATGCAGTTTGCATATTCTGTACTCTGCTTATATGAGAGAAAAGCACATGGCAGGAAGGCAAGCTGATAACAGGTATTTTATTTTTTTAAAGAAAGCAAGTTCCAGGTTACATCTTGGGGTCATTGTAGATTTGACCCGGTATATAATACATCCACAGCTATAGCACAGGCTATAATCAATTATATAGACTTTAGGAAATAATCTCATTAATCAGAGTTAAATCATGTAAATTTTAATACATTACGAACCTTTTTGCTTTCATTAAAGGCATGTAGTTTTGTTAGGGGATGCTAATGGTTCCAGATGTCAACTTTATACAGTGAATTTCAGATTTGATGTTGTGGTTATTTGCAAAACAAAATTCCTGTATCCGACAGGAATTTTAAATATACTTTTCAGTAGGAATACATTATAAAGAAAAACTGATTTCAATTATTATGTGGTACTTAACCTCCAGGGATTGGGAACTGTTGACCTCAATTTTTCCATCTGTTGAAAAGGAGCTGAATTAGAATTTAGTTCTAAGCTAATAGTGGCCATCATCCATAGCCTCAAGCTGATTCTAATAGGGTAGGAACTCTGAGGGGTGGTAAAAGGCGAGAATAGGGGCCATATGGAAGAGGAAAGCATGGAAGGTGGAAACCAGAATCAGGATTGCCTGCAAATGTAAACTTCCAGGAATCTTCTCGGTTCTGGTCAGCTCCCTGTCACACTGTTTTCTTCTGCTCTCCTCAGGAATCAGCTTGCTTGTTTCATTTTTTCATTGCTGTCATCTGTAGTTTCCAACCAGCTTTTCACCTTCCCTGATCTTTGCAGAACAGATTATACTGTTGTATCTTCTCCCCTGCATTTCTTTCTCTGAAAAGTCAGCATGGTGATGTGCTTCCTAATTGTAATGAAAGGGAAATATTCCAGAAACAAAGAGATCTTTTATCTTTCTGTGCCACAAGGACCTACCCCCACACCCCCATCCAGTTTGCATTTCTGGGGTGGGGGGTGTGTCTGTGTGTGTGTGTTGTATATAAGTGTCACTTTTATTTCAGAGGAAAATCAGATTGGAATTATAGTGGACTTATTGTTAAAGCTGGGCAGAGGCAACAATTGGAGTAATAGGCAGGACTATGCCTCTGGGTGGGAAGGATGAGGAAACTGAAGCCTACAGGAATCAGCTGCATTGGGGTGCAGGGGTGCAGGAAGGGCATTGATCATCCTGACCCTGACGACCAAAAAGTAGAGGAAATTCATATGTTCTTTTGCTGAACTTGAAAAGGCTTTTTTTTTTTTTTTTTTTCATTTCACAGGGAGACTTTGGCACAAATGATAGAAGAAAATGTGAACTGTCTTGGCCATTTAAGCACTATTATTCATGAAGTAAATGAGGAGCAGAGCAGTAGAATGATGGTAAGTATTATATGGACATGGATGTGTGTGTTAGGTATTTTGCAAAGGGTTTAACTTTCCTTAACTGGCATTTGGGATGGATATGAGAAACAGAACTGAGAGGAAAGAGAAAGAGCATTTGAGGAATATCCTTGACCTCAAATCCCCATCTTCTCTTACTCGTGCATATACTAGGATTATGTCATCAATAATCTTCAACAGTAGCATTTTTGGGCAAATTAAATGATTGGGCAATATGATCTCTGAAATTAAATGGTTTGTACTTTTCTGCTTCAATAATCAATTTTCTCCAATAAGATGAGGCAGGATTTATATTTGAATTATAATTAATTCAAATATAGTAACTGTTGCATACAAATGAATACTGTAATTATAGTTGTAATTAATAGAAGTATTTATATTAATAAGATTTAGTTATTGTGAATTACTGATTTAAAACTTGGAGAAACTACAATAAAATGTTTACTGGATTAACTTTTACTACATTTAGTCTCAACATCAACTCTTTATATTTCCTCTTTAATTATTTGCTTCAAATATTTATGAAAACTCTGAAGTATCTTTTTAATTAGCAGAAAATAAGGCAAACTAAATTCTAATTGCAACTTATTTATGCTTTTAATTTTTAAACTTTTGACTATAAAATGTACGGACATACTTAGAAAACTTGCAAAAATGAACACCCAAAACCTACCACTTATAGTCAACATCTAATTGTAATTTTTCATGCCTGGTTTTAGAATCTTGATTGGAGTTGGTTAACAGAATGACTTACCACTTATTCACTGTGCCCAAACCAATGGAAGTTGTTGCTGCACATGTTCGAAATTTGTTTTCTCCCATGAAACCATTCTTCAAACACCATTCAATGGAAGAAATGGCTGTGATCAAAAACTACGTATGGTTTTACAAAGGCTATATTTTGGCTTTGGGTAATTTTAACTCCTGAACAGATATAATTTTATGTTGGTGAACTTGTTTAAAAACTACAGCTAGTTAGGAGCATCATTGCCATCTATTTGTTTTTAAACTTTGTAAAACATTACTTATTTAACTGACTAAAAATACCTTTTAACTTTTGGACATAAGGCCAAACATAATATATACAGAGAAGAAACCTGAATTAATGTGTTCCAAGTACACATTGTCTGCCTATGTTTCTGTGGCAGAGATTGCTCACAAGTAAAATTGTACTTCTTGAAAAATAAACCCTACCTCCTTGTGTTGCACTCAACAGTGCTCTTTCTGGCATCATAAGGAGTTGGGTCAATCCCATTTTCAATTTTATTACACATTGGACAGTGCATCTGTGCCTTCAATAACAGTGGACTGTCCAAAGTGTGCTATGTGTATATGTATTTAAGATGTACATTTAGTAATATCAAAGAAGAAATGTTAATTTATAATGTATTTGAAAACATGTTTTTTTCATTTGTAAAAATGAGTCATTTGTTTTAAGAATCTTACATGTCTTGTCATACCAATATAAAGGTCTGCACTCCCTTATCTGTAAATCCAAAATCCAAAAAGCTCTGAAAACAAGGTTTTTCATAAGCTTGGTGACAAAACTCATTTGCTTTCAAATCCAACTTGAACTGACAGTTGAATCAACTTATCCCATCTAGTGTGAATCTTCATTTATTTTGCTGCAAAAATATTAACATGTTTAATTATTTAGTGGGGGAAGCTGCTGCCATAGACTGTGTTGGGTGTGTATGTATTATGCACTGAATTACCTTTCTAAAATCTGAAAATTTCATAATTCTAAAACATCTGGCTCTAACCATTTCAGATAAAGGATTGTGGATCTATTACCTGTTAGGTAATTTAGAAGATACTTGTTTTTTAAAAATGTGAAATGCTTTTGTATTATAGACAGTTTTTCACTTTGTGTATTAAATGATTTTTAAATTACTTTTTGATTCTCTTTTCATTAAAATCAGATGAATATAGTTACCCTTGAACAAAGTGGGGGTTAGGGGCGTCAATACCCACACAGTAAAAAATCTGAGTATCACTTTAGCTTCTATAGTTGGCCCTTCACATCTGTGAATTCAGCTAACAGGTTGGGAATGCGAAAATACTGTTTCGAGTCATGGCTGGTTGAATCTGCAGACATGAAACCACCAAATAAGAACAGCTGACTATTTTTAAAAAAACTGTGTACAGGACGTTTGGGCAAGGTGGTGGCATAGGTAAACGTGATACTTGCCTCCTCCCACAACCACATCAAAATTTCAGCTAAACTGCAGAACCACGATCATTCAGAACCACCTGAAACCTGGTTGAATGAAGTCCTACAACTAGAGGATGAAAGAAGCCACACCGAGACCGAGACCGAGACCGAGACCGGTAGGAGGAGCAGAGATGCAGAATGGGCTGGTCCCACACCCCCGTGTGGTGGGTAAAAATTGGGAAGGATATCTCACCTGCAGAGATTCCCCTGAGGAGTGAGAGTTCCCAGCCCCATACCGAGGGCCATTTGGATATTTATAACATCATTCACGGGCCACAGAAAATTATCAACTTAAAAATTAGCCTGCTATATTTGGTCAAACATTTAACTCACCCCTAATGCCTGGGCAGGGCCAGAACAAATTATTTTGTGGGCCTTATATGGCCTGTGGGCCAGACATTCCCCACCCCTGGTTGATCTGGAACAGACAAGGTCCCAGACATTCCTAGGTAATAAAAGGCAAATGAATGACACAGGTAAAGAAGAGGATAGAGTGGTCTGGGGGGGGGGGGGGGGTTGCTTTAATGACTCGAAGTCTATTTACCCCTTCCCATTTCCCGTTATCACCATTATAACTTTGGACCTGCACTTTCTAACCACTTTGCTTCCCTGCCTCCAATCTCGCTCCACTGTAAACCATTTTACAGACTCACCGGCTCTAAAGCACTGCCCAAGAGGTTACAGAGCCCTCCTACCCTAGTCTACTTGTACAGTTATGGTCCCACTGCTAGCCTTTGAAGGCTTACAGTAACCATTACTGTCCAACCTACTCTAATTTTCCCTGTGTTCGTTCATCTCATTCCTTTCTCTGCTCTTTGTCCTTTTTGTGTTTGGTAACATAAGCACATAATGCATATTTTAAAAGAACAGAAAAATATGCAGTAAAAAGAAAGTCTGTGTCTATTTTCTAGCCATCCAGTACCCTCTCCCTACAGAAAAGGTGCTTAGAGCCTTTCAAAATCTGGGACTAGCCTACCATCCCACTCCTTTCCATCATAATGGCTTCACAGGAGCTCTAATGCTCCCTGTTCCTTTTCATTTTCCTAGGACCCGTTCCTATTGCTTGGATGGCCATCAAGTCCTCGCTAGGTTAGCTTCGGGCACATAAATAGGTGCTCAGAAAAACACTTGATGAGTGACTATGCACTTAAATTTAATACCTTCCTCTTCAGAACTTCCACTTCCAACAAGTCTGGCTGCTCCTGAATTCAGTGCAGGACCCGTGCATGAAGCACGTGCTTGCCACGTAGGCTTCGGAATAAACCACAAAAAGACAAACGGAACACTGGAGTGAGACAGTGGGTTTTTGCACTAGAAGAACTGACCAGTTCCTTGTTCCAGAGGCCCTCTTCTAACTCAGCATCCCTGCTCACTCTAGATCACCGACTTGTTTTCCAGAGCAGGAAACCAGCAGTGCATAGAAAAGAGTCCGCGCACTTTTACGGGAAATCGCGCTGCAGGCAGCCGGAGAATTTTGTCCCCTCCGCGCCCCGTCTCTTTAGTCGCGGGGCGAGCACTGCGTCGGCTTGCGTGCCCGCGCAGCCGCAGAGCGGAGAGAGTGGGCGGGGTCGGCGGTTGGCGGCGGTTGGCCCGGGGAAGCAGCTGCACGTGCGGGGCGGGGGCGATGCGTCACTGACCGGTGAGGCGCGGTGGAGGGGTGAGCCTCCCTTCGGACTCTGCGGCTGGACCCCCCCCCCCCCCGCCCCCTTAGTACCTTCTGCCGCGAGACGGCCATTGGGAGAGGGGGGGTCACGACGCTAAGTGAGCAGGGGCGGCCCGCGGGCCGTTTTTCGCGGAGGGGGGTGTAGGGGAGTAAACGGGTCCTGCAAAAAGGAATGAATGAGGAAGAAGGGGCACCAGACTTCCCCGCGCGGCGTGCGGAAGGGAGCCAGTTGTGCGACGCGGAGGGTGGAAACCGGACAGGATAGGCCTGTCTCTCACGGGGCTGGGCGTCCTTTCCTCCCTTATTCAGGAGAAACAGGATGAATATGACTCAAGTCCGGGTTCTGGTGGCTGCCGTGGTGGGTGTGGTGGTCGCCTTTCTCTATGCCTCCATCCACAAAATCGAGGAAGGACACCTGGCCGTGTACTACAGGTGAGCGGCGTGTGCGGTCGGCTCGGGCTGCGCGCGCACTCCCGGCGGAGTTGTTGCCTCTGCAGCGTCGGGGGAGCCCTCTCCCGTCCTCGGCAGGGACTTCCGTCCTGGCTCTTGGGGGCCGAGGCAGGCTTTTGCAGAGCACCCTGCAGTTCTTGGACAATTTTAGTGCTACTGTATGTGTGTTTTGTGCAGAGGTCGAGTCCCTATCCCTTGTAAGCTCAATTTTTGCAGGAAAAAGTGAATGAAGGAAGGCAGTGGCCACTCCACCTGTAACTGAAGAGATGGGTAAATCGTTGTATCCCATACACCTGTACAGGCTTTCAGTTTGAACTTTACATGCCGTTTAGAAACGCCGGTCCTATTAGTGATGGTTCTTTACATCCCCCCCTCCCCCCTTAAAATCACCTAGTGTCTGGTTTTGACAGTTGTTATATCCCTGGACCTCGAGACACAAACTCAGCATTGACGGACCACCCTCCTCCCACCTTACCCTTTCTTCCAGGTTGAGGAAAGGAATTGTGTGGGATGTGTTGCTCTCTAGTTGGGCTCCAATGGCTTTTCCTTCAACGTGGTACCACCAGTTCCTTTTGACCTAGACACAGAGAGGGTAATCTGGAGAAATTGCAATAATAATGTATTTGGAGGGGCTTCAACTTCAACTTTTTGCTTGTTTCCATCATCCCCCCAAAATGATATTTCTACTTTTAAATCCATCCTGAGTCTTAGAAACAGTCTTCCCTATGAAACGCTAGTTTCAAATGCAATTTCAGTGATATGTCTTAATAGATGAATAACAGGTTAGTTCATATTTCCATCTAGTTCAGCATTGCCTTCCTGGTAGTAAAATCAAGGAAAGAGCTTTTCAACGTGTGGCTCTCAAAGAATTAGGGCTATATCTCAAACAGTTCATATTTCCTTAGTTATTTGTTATTAATCCTTTTCATACCTATTTATATTTTCAAATAGAAAGCTAAGTTCTATGAAGTTATTCTTCACTGTGTACAAAAGGACTTCTTTTTAATATTTGTCCCTCAAATGCCTTTTTTAAAAATAATTTCCAAGATGTGCTGTCATAGTTCACACATTCCAGAATTTGGTGAACAAGTCTACAGTAATATTCTCTCTACTTTTAATCTTATTCCCTCACCCTTTATTTTGCTATGCTACTTTTTCCTGTTTTTAAAAATAAACTTTATGCACCCAGTATTTTAATTGCCTTATTATTTAGGTAGATTAAAAGAATCTTGAGCCTCTGAAATTTTCTCCTTCCTTGAAAGTTTGTGTTATCTTCTTTTTTAACCTGGTGACTAAATGTATTATGTTTTGAACTGGTTAGTGTTAGTGTTATGCACAATCAAAATATAGCAACTGAGAGCCATTAGAATTTTTTACAAGTATTTTTCAGACCGTTAAAAACCATCGAAAATCCTTTGTACCTGTGAGCAGTGCTGGAAACCCAGAGGTATAGTTGTTCATCTTATGAAACAAGGTGTAACATCAGCAGTTTAATGTGATTTTTTTTACCTTCTTAGCTGCGGCAGATATTTTAGGGACTAGCAGTTGTTCATGTGTAATTCATATTAGTGAGGCTTTAATAGGTCAATAGCATGAGTAAGAGTGAATACTTATTACAGCATTTTAGATTTGGAAAGAGAATTTCTCTCTATAATTTTGTCAATTTGAAACATCTTTTTGCAGGGGAGGAGCTTTACTAACTACCCCCAGTGGACCGGGCTATCACATTATGTTGCCTTTCATTACTACGTTCAGATCTGTGCAGGTACGTGATTTCTAAGGAAGCCCCGACACTGGATAGACAGGCGTGACAGGAACAGTTGCCACATTTGTGGGTGGAGATAGGTTTCCTATTGCTTAATCAAATGGTGGTATTTACTTAAATAAGGAGTTAAAGTACAGAGTACAGTTGTCACAGTACAGGTGTCGCAGTACAGTTTGTGCTTTTGAACCACCTCACTCTCGAAGTTTGTTAGAAGTAAGAGCTCAGCAACTTGGAAGAACTGACTTCTCACATGTATATAGTGGTATGCAGCAGGGGTTCTGTTGCTGCCAAAATAAAAGCAGGTCTTCAGCGCACAACTATAAAAACAAACCAGTGATTACTGGTTTAGAACGGTGTTTGGTTTCCATAGGAGAAGCTCCTGGACTACTGTTAACATGGAGGATCTGAATTTTTATACACAGCTTTTCTGCCTCACATTTTTGCCTGGGAACATTAAGCACAATTTTATGTGGAACCTTAGGGAATGTTTTATTTTGATAGCATTTCAGAATATTTGAAGTAGCATCTTATCATTGAGAACAGTGTCTTGGTCGTGGGAAATAGTAAAATATCTTTTGACATAAGATGATAAAATAGGATTAGATTGTGACTGCTTTATCAGTATGATCATAAATCTATGGATTCAGAAGTTTGTCTACTGTCTGCTAATTTTTTAGGACTGAGGAAAATGTATTATAGTTAATCTTGGAATTTAAATCTAGTCTTCTTGATAAGTGAGAGTTTCATTATAAATACTTAAATCTTCCAGGTTTTCTTCCAAGTTGTTTTTCAGTGGCTTAGGGCAAGAATTTGTATCTGTTGAAGTGAAATGTGTTCTTCCGTTAGCTGGACTGATTTCTATATTTTCTCTATTTTATTCACTCTTGCCTTCGTTCATGCTGTCACCTCTTCTCTCCTCATCTTTCCCTTCATTTCTTCTTTCCTGTCTAAATCTTGCCAGCCTTCTTAAGGCTTATCGCAAATCCCTCTTTTAATCTATAGCTCTGAAAGTCTGTACTATAAATTTTGGCCTTTGGTCTTATTTCTTTTAATAATATTGTCTTGTTCTCTAAGTTTTTGTGTGTATTTTCTTTCCAGAAAATCTCGAAGCTTCTTGAAGGCAGGGATTGTAACCCATTTATGTTTCTGACCTTTCTACTTGTGAACATTGTTAAATTGAGCAGTAAGGTGTAGTGAACACATGGGGTCAGAAACCTGGAAACTTCAGTTCTGGCTCTAACACCAATTAATTATATGACTTTGCAAAAATCACTTCACTACTGTAGACTTCAGTTATTCCTTTGTGAAAGAAGGAGTTTTAATTACATGATCTCACCAACAGCCTAAACAGTTTATGATGATGTTATCAATGGCAGCATCACACCCTTAGAGATTAGGGTATTTTGTAGGTCTGTTCAAAGCCAAGCAAATCTATCTCTGCCTTCTTGGAGCTTAGTATGTTGAGTCACACTGATGTAGAGATATATAGAAGAGATACAGATAATAAACATTAAATAGGTTTTAGAGTTTAATTGCAGATATAACAAATACAATATATAGTTTGTATACACGTATACAGACAGTCCTCGGGTTACATCGGACTCGACGATGTACGTCTTTTCGTGGTTACATTGCCATCTCCCATTTATTTATAAAAAAAAAGTTCCATCATTTCGACGTATGTACATATGTGCTTTATGTTTTTTATTATTTATTTACCACAAGTAAAGGTCAGGAATTGTTATCTTTTAAATGTTTTTTACTGTTTCACTTCATCACTGCTATGTATGTGCTCCATGTGAGTGACGTAGATGCTTATGTAGGTGGGTTCTGAGTTACAGCAAAAATCGCGTTACGTCGTGCCATAGGAACGGATCTCCGATGTAACCCGGGGATCTACTGTATTTATATATTGCAATAAACTATCATACTTAATGGAAATGAAATTAGTAAAGAGATTTCCATGTCAACAATATACTTTGAATTTACAAAAAAAATTAAATGGTGGAGCCAGTGTGATTTAATAGGAATGTTCTTTTTTAATATGTGAAGCAGTAACATTCTAGGAAAAAATTATATTAATAAAACCCTTTTTAAAAATTGTTCTTATTCAAATGAGACATGAAATATTTACTTTTATGAAATTTTGGAACACATTAGAAGATACAGCCTTCTGTGTTGGTATAGAATATGACCAATGTTTTGAAGGAAATACAGTTAAATTGAGCTCATCTCTTCAACTTTTCTCTATCTACCTAGAACCTGTCACTATGTTTACCATCACCCTATTTCTCAACCCCTGAATTAAACTCAATTCTCTTTCTTCCTGGAATTTTATATGCAACCAGTTTTTTAATCCTTTCTCTATGATGACTCCTGGACTGACAGCTTTTAATTTCCACGCCCTTTACTAAATCAGCCTAAATAAATTAATACTTTAGCTTCCCAGCTGGTTTTCTTGCCTCTAAATATGATGGATACTGAGATTGGCACCACATATGAGCAAAGGAATTAAAGAAAAACATATTTTTGAAAGGTTTATTTTGTGGCTGTATATAAGATAGATTAGGGAGGGCTCAAGCCCCTCCCTCCCTCCTTTGAACATGCAGGGCCCTCTACCTAATATCGCCATGTTCACTTCTCAGAAAATCAACTTTCATCTATATCACCCCTTCTGCTGCAGGCAAGCCAATCTGCTTCCTGTCACTTGTACTAGTATGTACAGTTTGTTCTCAACTTTGTATATTTGAATAGGATATTTATTGAACCTAAAATGTTTCTCTGCCTCGTCTGTTCTTATTTTTCCCCCTGTAGACCTGACTTATAAATACTTCACTTCAGAGAGCTTTTCAACCTATCACTTTACTCTCTGCCATTTAATACCTAACAATTCCGTTTATACGCTGTTATTTTATACCTGTTATAGATTGCTTTGTAAGGATTTTATCTCCTGTGTTGGATAATGAGCTCTTTGGAAACAGGGACTATACTTTCTTTCTCCTTTGTATTCTATCAAGTAATATGTTGCTGAGTACTTCATAAGGTGCAGTGTGTCTGGAATATACATACTCATTAGGTATTCACCTATTGGAGGCCTTAGAGTGCAATAGAGAATCACTATGGATCCAAACAAAGGGGCAAAGTAAATAAATACCAGATTGTTGGAAGGAAGCACCGCTGGTGGTGGCAGTTCTGTTAAAAAGGAAATTGAACAGACCATTTGAGAAATTACTAGGGCCTAAACTAAAATATTGACTATATCTTCAGAGAAAAAGATTGCTTTTCAGTTCAAGGGTACCTTTGAGTTGTATGCATAAAATAGTTATCTTTTATCTTCGTCATAAGCAGTAATATTAGCAGTGGAATCAAAGTTCAGAGCACAAGTCCTCGTAGTAGTATCCTTGTGGGAAAGCCATGTAGTTTGTAATCCCAGGCCAGCTCTAGGCAAATAAGGGACTCTGAGAGGTTGAACATTGAAACATTCCTAGTGCATCCTGATTCAAACATTAACTGTAAAATATTTGTCTCAAAACTTTCATGTCTGCTGGGATACAAAAAGAAATTACTTTGGTAGCTAATCTTCGGTGACTAAAACTGTAATGGAGCGCTCCTATATTTACCTCTCAGTACTTCTCCAGAGGTTTTCCCTCTGGGACCCGTAGTTCTTTGACAATATGTGTCCTGAGTATTGAGATTTTTTTTCCTCCCCAGACAACACTACAAACTGATGAAGTTAAAAATGTGCCTTGTGGAACAAGGTAAGCTTTCCCCTCACTAACCAACCTCCCTTTAGTTCAGATGGAGTTTCTGTTCATAAGCTATAATCAGTTAAACATCTTTCAAACGGCATGACAGTAACTCCAGGAGTTTTCTCTTCTGGGCATTATATGAGGAAAGTCCTGTCTCCAACAGGAGCTTTTTATCTTAAGAGTCATTAGGGTGTTAGTGAAAAGAACCAGCAGACCTAGCTTCATACGTATATCAGCACTGCCACATCTGCTTTATTGAGTTTTGTTTTTTTAACTAGACTTTATTTTTTAGTGCACTTTTAGGTTTATAGCTAAACTGAGCAGAAAGAACAGAGTTTACATATACTCCTTGCTGCCACACATGCCTTTATTGACTTTGCTAAGCTCAGTTCCCTCATTTGTAAAAATCAGGTAATAAGACCTATCTTACAGTTATACCAAGGGACAGAATTAGTGTATATGAAGTGCCTAACCCAGCACTTGATCCAGAGTAAGTACTCAATAACAGATAGTTTAAAATGAAATCATCTCACCTGTCATCTGTAGTATTAAAAGCCATCTAGAGTTTCTGATTCAGTAGGTCTGGAACGAGGCCTGAGAATTTGCATTTCTAGCAGAAGTTCTCAGGTGATGTAATGCTATTTCTGGTTTTAGGACCTTACTTTGAAAATCGCTACACTAAAGAGTTTTAAGGAAAGAAAGGCAAGCAAGGCATATATTATTTCTAGAATATAATTAGTACATTGAATTGTATCAAAAGAATAATGTAAAATTGAAGGTATTTTTTAAATGCTTTATTTTAAATAACTAAAATATTTATTACAAGCCTATATAAAAGAGGCTTTGACATCAGTGGAAGGACACATGCTTTTTAAAAGGGAGCAAATTTCCTGTGTTTTAAGTTATTTGATAAGTTCTCTCTAGGTCTGTCTGTCAGTTTTTTTTTTTTTATGGATTCCCTTTAGAGATGACTCAAAATTGGCAGCTAGTGAGATTTTTGGTAAATTTCATGTTAATCTTTCTGCTTTCCTATTTTTTTTTCAGTTTTTTTTTTTTTTTTTTTTTTTTTTTTTTTTTTTTTTCTTTATTAGTGAGCATGTATTACTCTTTTCTTGTGGGGTGGGGGATGTCATTGTAGGTTGGTAGGAAGGCTTAGTTGTTTAGTTTCAAAATCTCTAATTTCATGTACCTCAAGTTGAAGTTCACATGTCCCTCATGGTAGCCCAGGAAGTATAGGAACCACTAATTAACAAGACCTATCTTTCTAGTGTGTCAGTTTTACTTGAGGAGCAAATTATTTTTATACAAGAATAAATATGGATAAAACATAAAAACTCTTCGATTAATTATTAAGATAAAGCAGGAAACCCAAAGGATTTTAGTGTGGCTGGCCTTCATACCTCCTGAGGAACCATTTTACTTGGTTTCTTGATGGAAGACTTTGAGAAGAGAACTGCGTTATCTGTTGGCCAGTTAATAAGGGCGAAGTACTAAGTAGCTTTAGGTTATAGGTTTGGTCTTCATATGAGCTGAATTGATCACAACAGTTACAGAGGTGAACCTTTGTTATGAGAGGAACTAGGTGAGTGTGTAGGGTTATTTGAGTAGTGATCAGTAGAGTCATTTTAATCAGTAATATATGTCTTTAGATTTTCCTTCTAAATTTCTATCTTGTGGGATATGTTTGATGATCTGGGATTATAATAGAATTTGTATTTGGCTCATGCTTTTTCCTTTTTTTTTTTTTCTTTAGCGGTGGGGTCATGATCTATATTGATCGAATAGAAGTGGTTAATATGTTGGCCCCTTATGCAGGTATGGTACTGATCTGTTCTGTTGTTTTAAAGTTATAATCAGAGTATAACTGAGAGATTCCCTGAAGAATAGAAAGGTACTTTTAAAGTTTTATGACCTCATTTATTTATATATGTATAGAAAAATAATCACTGGAATATTTTCCATTTCGAGAGAATGTTGGCAGAAATAGGTTACAAGTTCTAGACAGAGTTGACTTTTCTGCAACTGTATGGGTTACTCTTTGTTTTTAAAGAGCAAGACAGTCATTGATTATTTCTAGAATTTCTAGAAAGTAGCATTTTATCCAGTCAGGATGAGAGATCATTTTCATGCATGCTAAAAACCTATAATTGATTAAGTCCTAGGCCACATTGATTTGTGATCATAGAAAAATCTTTTCTGGTTGTGAGTTATGCTATTACTTGCAAAGCAATCTGAAAGTCCTCATTGTGGGGAAAACATTTTCTTGGTAAAAGATGAAAACCTAGAGATGGAGTGGGTACTGTTAAAAAAACTTAAGAAAATCAGTCTTTGTTTGGTTTGAACCCTCCCCCCAATTATTTTTGTAGCAGAATACACATAAAATAAATCATCTTAACCATTTTTTAAGTGTACAGTTCAGTGGTATTAAATACATTCAGATTGTTGAACAACCGTCACCAACTCTATCTTGATAACTCTTCATTTTGCAAAATGAAACTCTATAAACATTGAACAATAATTCCCATTTCCCCTTCTCTTCAGCCCCTGGTAATTACCAATGTCCTTTTTAAGGTTGAATAATATTCCATTGTATGTATATACCACATTTTGTATATCCATTCATCCATCAATGGACATTTGGGTTGCCTTTACGTTTTAGCTGTTGTGAATAATCTATGAACATAGATGTACGTCGGTCTCTTTTAGTGGAATGATCTGCCATTCTACCTTTATCCTTATTATTAAAATTGGCATGCCCAGTATGTACAGGAGACTGTATTTGTCGAAAACAATTTTAAAAGGTGAAGTTAGAACCTTTTCCCTAAGGAGTTTTTATTTTACTTAAGACATAATACCAAATATATATTGGAATGTAAGGTCATGCTAAATTTCATGTCACTGGATCAGGCACAAATAGCAAAAGGATTTCATACCAGAGAACAGGCTGTATTACTGCCAAGTGGATTTGGATTCTGTTTTTCAGTGATTAAGTATTTTCATTGTCCTTTTTCATCTACTTTCCCTAGCAACAAATCAGTGGGATGAATTGTGATTGGAAAAATAGAAGAAAGGGAGATTGCTTTTCTCTAGCCAAAGATAAAGAGGAAACTATTGGTTCACCAGTTCATTTAGAAATGACCAAGCAAATGAATTAGTCAACAAATATTTATTGGTGGCCTGTCTATCAAGGAAAGGCTAGTGGAGCAAGTCCTTGGGTCTGAACAGAGAAAGCAGCATGTGTTGTTGTTGTTTTTTTGATTTTTTACTTTTCAATTACAGTTAATGAACAATATTAGTTTCAGGTTTACAACCCAGTGATTAGACATTTATATACATTACAAAGTGATCACCCCGATAAATCTAGTTCCCATCTGACATCATACATAGTTAATAAAATATTATTGACTATATTCCCTATGCTGTACTTTACATCCCGATGATTATTCTGTAATTGCCAATTTGTACTTCCTAATTCCTTCACCTTTCTCACCCATCCTCCAACCCCCATGTTTGAATAGTAAAGCACAGGTTAAGGTATGGTCTAGTACAGGGGTGGGCAAACTTTTTGACTCGAGGGCCACAATGGGTTCTTAAACTGGACCGGAGGGCCGGAACAAAAGCATGGATGGAGTGTTTGTGTGAACTAATATAAATTCAAAGTAAACATCATTACATAAAAGGGTACGGTCTTTTTTTTTTTTTTTTTTTTTTATTCATTTCAAACGGCCGGATCCGGGCCGTAGTTTGCCCACGGCTGGTCTAGTAGATGCCCTTAAGCACATTTCTGAAATGCTCTGTTTCTCAATTTCCTCAATTAGATTTTTTGTGATAATTAAATGCTAATATATGTAAATTGCCTGGCATAAAGCCTGGCCCAATAAATGTTTGCTTCTTTCCCTTCTAGCCTGGTATCTTTTTAACAGCCTTTAAAAACTGCCTTTTTGAAAATGGTCTTCTGCAGCTGCTTCCTTCTTTTATTCCCACTGTTCCTTTACTTAAGGCCCTCTTCACCTCTTAGCTAAACTTTTGCTTTGTAGTAATTGCTTTACACTTTCCTGCCTCTGATCTTTGTGCCTCCCAATTCATCTTCATACTGCTGCCAAAGTACAAATCTGATTGTGTCATGCCTTCGCTTGAAAACTGTCAGTTCCTTATACCTCTAAGATATGTATACTCTTCTTAGTATGGAATTCGAAGTTTGCCTACTAGAATTATAATATCAGTGTAACTTTTACCTTGGCTGAATTAGGAGATACATGAGTAAACATGGATTGTACCTCTCCTTCAGTGTTTGATATTGTGAGGAACTACACTGCAGACTATGACAAGACCTTAATCTTCAATAAAATCCACCATGAACTGAACCAGTTTTGCAGCGCCCACACACTTCAAGAAGTTTACATTGAATTGTTTGGTGAGTATCTTATTTGTTTTGAATATGTAAGTAACCAATTGGAAATCTTGTTCAACTCGTTTATGGATGCTATAACAACATTAGTAAACATGCTATTTGAGCATGCCTTCTGAATTTAAAATAGAGCAATTGTGTTTAAAATATTCTTTATCTTAACACATTTCGTACCACTCAAGAGTTTTCTCATGTTTCACGCCCCATCTGTTAAGGACCGCTCATGAGTGTTCTCATTTTTCACGCCCATGGAAAAAGGAGCGAATCTAGATACTTATGTAAATTTTGTTTGGTCCCTCTTCATAGAGGAAAATGTTTTACGCAGTACCATACGTTAAAAAAGTACTAGGAACTTTAATTGTTTAATTGTTTTTGTAAATAAAAATGTTATAATTATTAAAAAACAACACCTAAAGTGCATTATGATGATTTAAATAACGTGCAGTTTGCCCAAAAACGTGCGGTCCCTGGCATATGTCTTAGAGATTTCTATGCGGTACGCAATGTGTTAAGCTTAAATTTCTTATGATTAGATTAATTAGTTGCTCAGACAAGCTGTTTTAAGAATGACAAAATTAGTGCACTGAGGAGGTGGACCCTTAGCCTGGCCTGTGCCCTCTCACAGTCCAGGACCCCTCTGGGGGAGTGGCCCTAAGCCGGCAGGCGGACATCCCTCTTGCAGTCCAGGATCCCTCACTCCTTACTTCCGGGCTCGCTGCTCCTTAGCGCTGCTTTGGAGGCCAGAGAGGCTCCCGCCATCACTGCTGTGCTCACCAGCTGTGAGCCCAGCTTCAGGCTGAGCACTGCTCCCCGTGTGGGAGTGCACTGACCACCAGAGGGCAGCTCCTGCATTGAGCATCTGCCCCCTGGTGGTCAGTGCACGTCATAACGACCAGTTGTTCTGCCGATTGGTCGATTGCATATTAGGGTTTTATTATATAGGCTATCCATTTTCTGAAATGCATAATACATAACTATATCCTGTTTTTACTATGATAACTTACTAAAAAATAGCTTTGTTGCTATTTTAATAGATAATTTAGGGAAATTTAGAAATCTGTGTCCTGGAGTTTCCCAAGACCCACCTCCAGGTTTGATGATTTGCTAGGAGGTCTGACAGGACTCATTATATCAGTGGTTCTCAACCTTCTGGCCCTTTAAATACAGTTCCTCATGTTGTGACCCAACCATAAAATTATTTTCGTTGCTACTTCATAACTGTAATATTGCTACTGTTATGAATCGTAATGTAAATATCTGAAATGCAGGATGGTCTTAGGCGACCCCTGTGAAGGGGTCGCGACCCACAGGTTAAGAACCGCTGCATTATATAGTTGTACTCTCAGCTAAGATGCATTAACAGCAAAACAATAAAGCACATGGGTGAAGTCTGAAGGAAACCAGGCACGAGCTTTCAAGAGTGTTCTCCCAGTGGAGTCAAGCAGCATACACTTAATTACTCCAGCACTGAATTGCGACATTTGTGAAAATGTTGTCTACTTAGGGAAGCTCATTGGAGACTCACTGCCCAGGATTTTTACTGGGGGGCTGGTCATACAGGCACCCTCTGCATGGTATATATAAAAATTCTAGACTCCCAGAAGGAAAGCAGGTATTTGGCATAAACCACATTATTTGTATAAACAATTCAGGTACAGTGAGTTATTCTTATCAATTATGGGGTTGATGGAAATCCTCTCTAAGTCCCAGTTCCCAGGTGACAAGCCAAGGCTATCTTGCAAACAGGTTTTTCTAAGGATGGCAGCTTCAGGCCTCCTACATTTACTCTTTTTCTGCATAAATTACCTTTTTTGTTCATTCTCGCCTGACAATATTTTTTTCCCATTGATTTTGAGAGAGTGGAAGAGGAAGAGAAAGAGAGAGAGAAACATCAGTGTGAGAGAGACATAGCAATTGATGGCCTTTCGCATGCCCTCCCGCACCTGCAATCCAGATACGTGCCCTTGACTGGGAATCAAACCCAAGACCCTTTGGTGTGCGGGCCAGCGCTCTAACTATTTAGCAACACTGGCCAGGGCTGCACAAATAACTTTTCATTTATAACAGTGAAGGCTCTGACCAGTGATTGGGTTGTTGCAATTGGCTCCTTACTTCTTCCTGGAATTCTTAGTGAATTTCTTAGAGGCAGGCATAGGGATGGTTAATCAGTTTGGAAATCTACCAGTTGATTCATCAATGATTGACAACTATTGGGATGGTGTCTGAGAAAACTGTTCTGTCCTGATTTGTCACGTCACCCATCTTTATAATAATGGTGAATGTACTGTTGAGGTGGATCCAAAATTCATGAGTTATAAGGCCAAATGAAGTGACATGTTTGTTGTCCATTTTTGTGGGCTTCAAAGACCTTCCTGTGAGCCATTCCACCCACCTTGTTCTCTTTATTTTTAAATCCAAAGTAATAGGCAGAGGTCCATGGAAATGAAATTTAGTTATTTGAATGTTTGGGGTAAAGATTGAAGAAAAAAAAAATTTTTTAAATGAGAATCAGGACATGTGTTGAGAATCAGGACATGTGTTAATTAAAAACAATGAATTGATATTAGCGACCTAGATTCTCTATTTATTGGATCAACTTAATTTCTTTGATAATTCCTCACACTTTCTCCCACACAAGAGGAAAACTAAATATATATGATATACATATATTTGTTTATATATATGTATATATGTGAAGCACTTGAAGCTCTATGAAAGAATAGTACCGTGGGAACTTTAGGTCTAATAATAATTGGTTTTGTTTCAATATTAAGACAATGTAAAAAAAAATTTTTGAGTGTCATGAGAGTTGTTTTTGGCTTCAAAAACAGATCAAATAGATGAAAACCTGAAGCAAGCTCTGCAGAAAGATTTAAATGTCATGGCACCAGGCCTCACCATACAGGTAAGCCTTTTTCCTAGAGAAATTCTCTGGGAATTTTGAGAGCTTTGAATTTAAAGGTCCTTTTATCATTCTGTTTATTCTGCAGTTATTTAGTTGAAGTGCTATAGTGAGTTATAGAATACCTTTCTCAGTTTGACTTTAGATCTCTGCCAAAATAAAATACTCTTAGAGCTAATCACGAATTCCTAGAGGGAACAGATAAGCTGAGGCTCTTACAAGGAAATAAAATACACATTCTGCTAGTGTGAGGCATTACTAAGTTGCAGTAATGGTTATAAATCAGTGTAAGAGTATCCCTTATGAAAGGAATTTGAAGTATAAGGTTTGGACAATAATTCTACACAAAGTAGATGTCCTGAAGCATTAATTGACAGGCAAATTGATTAGGTTATTGCTATAAGAGTTTAAGAGAACATTTCAGGAGAGTCTGCCTAGAAATGACTGTGATTGAGTTGGGATTTTAGGTATGTCTGGAATTAATAGGACTTATAGGGGGGAAAGGAGTAAAGAAGGTATTTCAAGTGGGTGGAATGCCCTGAGTAAAGAAAGGCAAGGTAGCAGCTGAAATAATGGTGGTGGTAGCAGCAGTGGTGGTGGCAGTGGCAGTGGTGGCAGTGGCGGCAGCAGTAGCACTGGGAGATAGAATGGTGAGAGGCTATATGCCTGCTTTTTTTAGTCAGTAATTTTTTAGATTTAATTGAAATCCATTAGTGGATTCTAAAATCAGTTTTAGTGGGTCATGACCAGCATTTTAAGTAAAATGGAATTAAATAGGAAAATAAATCAGTAAATGCCATGTAATAAGTTTAAGTCATTCTGTAAAATTTTTGTGTTACGTAAGTATGTGGGTAGGTTTTTGTATTGGGTCTCACTGTAAAATGTGTTTTTTGCTGTGGTCATATCATGGTCAGTAACATTTGAAAGCCTTGGTTCTGGATCTGGATTACCCGAGAAGTGGTAATATGGCTTCTCCAGTGTTCTTTCTCAGAGTTACTAGGAGATCAATTGATCGTGTGCTGAACGTTACTGCAGCTAAAGATGAAGCTTTGTTTGGTGTCACATGTCTCAAGTGTCTGTCTCATTGCTACTGAGAGTGTGTATTCACTGTTGCGTGATCGTGTGTTATCACATAAACAAGACTGGAAAGATGGCTAGCATTTTTCCTATCCTCATTCATATTGCGTCATTATCTCTGATGGGTGCCTGAGGGGGAGCCACCAAAGTTAAGGGGTCATTTGAAATGTCCAGAGTTAACTGCAAAATTCTCTTGGTTGTACATTCAGTTGTGGCTGGAGTAGTTTTTCAGGTTTAAAGATAATAAATGTGAATATCACAGTCTTAGATTCTGTTCAGTTTGTTACTTGGAGATGTAGCTCATTCTTTTTAACAGCTGCCTAGAATTCCTTGTCATTATTATATAACCACTAGAGGCCTGGTGCACGACATTCGTGCACTGGAGGAAGGTGTCCCTCAGCCGAGCAGGGGTCCTTAGTGCTGCTGTGGAGGCGGGAGAGGCTCCTGCCACCACTGCTGTGCTCGCCAGCCATGAGCCCAGCTTCTGGCTAAGTGGCGCTCCTCCTGTGGGAGCGCACTGACCACCAGGGGGCAGCTCCTGCATTGAGCGTCTGCTCCCTGGTAGTCAGTGTGTGTCATAGCGACCAGTCATTCCACCATCCTGTCGATTTGCATATTAGGGTTTTATTATATAGGACAGTGATGGCGAACCTTTTGAGCTCGGCGTGTCAGCATTTTGAAAAACCCTAACTTAACTCTGGTGCCGTATGACATATAGAAATTTTTTGATATTTGCAACCATAGTAAAACAAACATTTATATTTTTGATATTTATTTTATATATTTAAATGCCATTTAACAAAGAAAAATCAACCAAAAAAATGAGTGTGTCATAGGTTCGCCATCACTGATATAGGGTTTCCCTGTTCTCCCCCCCCTTTTTTTGCTGTTAGTAAACAATAATGTAGGGAACATTCTTGACACATCTCCTTATATGTAAAAATTATCTTTCAATTGGCTGTACAATTCTACATTCTTACCAGTAGTATGTGTGAATACTTATTTGTCTTCAACTCATTAGATTTGAAGCAATCAGATGTTAATTTTTGCTAATTGGCTGATAGATTTGAAGTTATCTCTCTCTTTGATTTGCATTTCCTTAGTTATTAAATGAGGGTGAGCATCTTTCTAGTTTTTATTTTTGTAGCCATTCCTATTCTCCTCCCTGAATTGCCCACTTATCTGTTAGATTTTTTCTTACTGATTTGTTAGTAATACTTTGTATATTCTGGATATTTTGTACACATGTTATGCAGTATGTTGTAAAATATTAGATATTAGGAAAAAGATGAATAATAACATGAAATTAACCACTAATCTTACTATGCAGAGATAAGAGTTTGTTGTATCTTTTCAGATTCTTCTTAATAAGTATATTGTTTATAAGTATAAATAATGTTAAACTAAAGTAGAATTATGCCATAGCTGTTTTTTTCACTAGCAGTATATATAAGCATCTTTTCAAGTCAAAAATAAAGATTTGCTGCATTATTACTTTTAATGGTTTTATTTAATTAATCTCTATGGCTTCCAATTTTTACTACTGTATGCATCTTTAATGACCAAGCTTATAAATACATCTTTTAAAATCCTTTCCTTAGGATAAGTTCTTAAATGTAGGATTGACAGGTCAAAGTGTATGCCCTGTTTGGCACTTTTTGATACATAATGCCAAATTGCCTTTCAGTAAAACTAGCAGCTTATACTCTCTCATCAGCAGTGTTAGCGGAAATTTCTGCCAGAGGAGTTTCATTATTGATATTTTTATGGCCTATCAGGTACCTCAATTGGTGTATAAGTTTTAAAATTGGGAGCATAGTTCCCAGTCATTGTGTCTCAGTGGTTGAGCATCGACCCATAGGCTTGATCCCCAGTAGAGGGCATGCAGGAGGCAGCTGATCAGTGATTCTCTCTCATCATTGATGTTTCTCTCTCTCTCTCCCTCTCCGTTCCTGTTTCTGAAATCAAGAAAAATATATTATAAATAAATAAAATTGGGAGCATAGTTTATGGCTTTTATGTAAACACATCATCATTTTTGTTTCTTTTAGAATTTCTGACCTAGGTTATAAACTCATATGCCAAATTAAATTAATACTCATGAATTTAATGAGTCTTAATGCTGTTAAATATGTAGTCCTTTTTCTAAGCATTGATGTATGCAAATGATTCTTGGTGAATTCACCGTCTTTACTAATTTTTTGGTTAATTTCCTTAGGGTGATGTGTGTGTGTGTATGTGTGTGTTAAAAACATTTAACATGAGATCTACCCTCTTTACAAATTTTTAATACATTATTATTGACTATAAGTAAAATGTTGTACAGCAGATCTCAAGAACTATTTATCGCCGTAACCAGTTTGGCTCAGTGGATAGAGCGTTGGCCTGCGGACTGAAAGGTCCCGGGTTCGATTCCGGTCAGGGGCATGTACCTTGGTTGTGGGCACATCTCCAGTAGGAAGTGTGCAGGAGGCAGCTGATCAATGTTTCTCTTTCATTGATGTTTCTAACTCTCTATCTCTCTCCCTTCCTCTCTGTAAAAAATCAATAAAATATATTTTTAAAAAAAAAGAACTATTTATCTTGCTTGACTGAAACTTTATAAATTTCCTTAGATCTTTTTAGTTACATAATTATGCCAAAAAAAATCTTGATTTTGCCTTCCACAATCTAGTATTTCCCAGTCCCCAAATCATCCTATTTTAATTCTTTTTTTTTTAAATATATTTTATTGATTTTTTACAGAGAGGAAGGGAGAGAGATAGAGAGTTAGAAACATCGATGAGAGAGAAACATCGATCAGCCGCCTCCTGCACATCTCCTACTGGGGATGTGCCCGCAACCAAGGTACATGCCCTTGACCGGAATCGAACCTGGGACCTTTCAGTACGCAGGCCGACGCTCTATCCACTGAGCCAAACCGGTTTCGGCCTATTTTAATTCTTTACTTAACACTTCTAATTATCTGAAATTCTCTTGTTCATTTATTTGCTTTTTGTTGTTGTCTGATGTGTTTTCTCCTCCTTAAATTTTAAATTTTATGAGAGCAGTCTTGCCTTGTTTATTGATGTGTCCAAGGTGCCTAGATCAGCAGCACTTGGCACAGACTAGGTACCCAATTATTATTTGTTTTCAAATGAATATTCTCTGTAACAATTGCTATTTTAATTTTTCCCTTCTCATTTTTCTTGAACAACTACTATGGCAAATTAGAGTGGTGAAAAATAACATCCTTGATATTTATTTAGTGGTGTGACTATATTATATGCTGACTTTTGGTTTAAAATACATGTTTATAACCCAGGGGTCAGTTTCAACAGATAAATTTATTTCATCAGTTTGTGGGGTTGTTTTTCTCCTTACTCCATGTGTATGTTAATTTTGGTCAGTGTCTTTGGATATGTTTTTATTTTTAATTATTTTAAAATATGTATACACACACACACACTTTATTTATTTCAGAGAGGGAGAGGGAAAGAGAGATGGAAACATCAATGATGAGAGAGAATCACTGATCTGCTATCTCCTGCACACCCCCTACTGGGGATTGAGCCTTTGACCAGAATTGAACCCAGGACCCTTCAGTCCACAGGCCGACGCTCTATCCATTGAGCCAAACAAGCTAGGGATTTTTTTTTTATTTCTTAAATCTCATAATGCAATTTATTCATGGTATCTGTTACAAGTCTTTATAATTTCACATATTTGAAAATGACAAGATTTCCCAAGATTGGCAAGCATGTAGTATGTTCTTCAGCCTCATATAGCAAGATAGACATCTATAGAAAACAGTTCTATTTTATGCTTCTTTTTGTAAGACTAAAAAGATAAATGGCTAGTCTCTTACTCAAATGCAATATGACAATGCTTTTCTTTGAATCATATTAAAATGTGTTGGAAGTCATCAGTATTTCTGATAGTCACATGGTGAAATCTGGCATCTCTCACCAATTCTGGTTCTAAATTTTTTTCTTCTGGATATCTCCATGAGTTGTTCCGTATGGTCTTACAGGCCTCACTTTCAACTTGTAATGAGTGTTTTCACCACAGTTCCCAGTTTCTTAAGCCATTTCACCCTAATTTTTGTAATAAGTTATGATAGTTTTCAAAATTATGTGCAGATTTGACTGTTCACTTTCACGTAAGGAAGGCTATGTTGCTTAAACATTGTAAAAAGTCTTTTTTCCAATGCCTTAAAAGAAGGGCATATGCTTAAAGTCTTTGTTGCTTAAAAGTTTAGCCAGTTTAATAAGTAAATGAATGAATGAGTGAATAAGGAAGGAAGGGAAGGGGGAGGGGGGAAAAAGAAGGGAAGGGAAGGGGAAAGGAAGGGGAGGGAAGAGGAAAGGAAGGGGAGGGGAGGAGGGGGGGGAAGAAGCCCTAGCCAATGTGGCTCAGTTGGTTGGGCATTGTCCCATGCATTGAAAGGTTGCAAGTTTGATTCCTGCACATGCCTTGGTTTCCAGCTTGATCCCTGGTAGGGGACGAGCAGGAGGGAGCCGATTGATGTTTGGCTCTCACATTGATGTTTCTCTCCCCTTCTCCCTCTCTCTCTAAAAATCAGTTTTAAAAAAAAGTAAAAGTTTGAGTTTTCAGAGGAAAATTAACTTTCAGATCAGCAAAGTGTTTTGTGTATGCTTGCAGTGTAGGAGGGAGTGAGGGATGTTTAACTAGTAAAACCAACATGTCATGAGAGATCAAGTCCTATATGTAGAAAAGTCAGCCTTCAAAAACTACGCTTCCCAAGTATGTCAAAGTACACTGGTTAGGAAAACAAAGTTTCTAGCAAAAAGTGTCTACAAAGGCAAGTAGACTTTGTTCTAAGTGAGATTCTAGAAAGAATATAAGCTATTAATTGGTATTTGTTTTCCTTCTGTCTTTGGCTGTTTGTTTATAACCAGTACTGAGTGATTGCTGGTTTAGAAAGTGGTAAATTCATTTACTCCTCACTGTGTTAAGTTGCATGTACCCACCTGGGTGTTTTGTTTTCATTTTTGTTTTTAGTTGTTTTCTACTTAACAATTTAAATCTGGGAATTTTACCTGTCTTTTATTTCTTTGGTTTGCAAATTGGAAAAGGAATCAAAATATCCAACTAAAGAGCTTTGTGAAAAGTCTTTTAAGAGAGAACTTTTTCCCTACAGAAGTTTATTTCCTCAACTGGTAGAATGGTTTTCCTGTAGTCAGGCTTCTTTTTCAAAAAAAAAAAAAAACAAAAAAAAAATCAAGAAGCAGCTTATCCTTGATTATTGGTGTGATGCTGAAAAGTAGATTTTTCTCGTGGGATCCCCTCGGGTGTTAGTAGGCAGCTAGCCATGTTGTAGTTGTTTGTTAGTCTCACTTGAGGAGCTCTTCTATAGAAGATTTAGTTTGAAGATTCATTTTTCAAATATACTTCGGCTTTTTCACTTTTATTTTTTAGGCTGTGCGTGTTACAAAACCCAAAATCCCAGAAGCCATAAGAAGAAATTTTGAGTTAATGTGAGTAATGTGCATGGGATCCCAATATTTTGTTTAGGGCCGTCTACATATTAATATACCAGTCTGAAGGAAATGTCTGTGTGAGATATAACACTCTGGGGTGTGTTGTGTGTTTATATTCCATACTTTAATTCTAGTAATACAGTCAAACCTCGGTTCTCGAATATCTCCCATCTTGAACAATTTTGGTTCACAGAAAATGTCTCAGTTGTCAAACAAAATTTGGGTTCTCAACCCAACAACCCTTTCATGATCAGTTACTCATCTCTTAGGCAACAAAGGAGAGAATGTGCAATTTTGGGTCATTTTACCGAAAAACCTCCTGTTAACATCTCAGGAAATTGTGCTGTGAATATTTTCATGTTTTTTGCTTTTGTGGCTGCTTATTATTATTAAACACATACAGTAAGTCACCATGGGTCCTAAGAAATTAAGTGATAGCAGCAAAGTGAAAAGGAAAGTTGTGAGATCACGACAGAGTTTTCAAAAGACATAATTGCAAAGCATGATATAAGTGTTTGCATGTCTGATCTGTATATTTCATTTCATTTCTGTTAAATTTTTCATTTACATTTCATGTCCTTTTTGTTTTTATAGTATTTACTTATAGCTTAAACAGTACCTTAGACATGTACTGTATGTATGTAGCAAAGATTAAAACAGAATCATTGAGGGTCTGGAACAGATTAATTCAATTTACATTATTTCTAATGGTAAAAAATATTTTGGTTTTCTAGCAAATCTCTTCTTGAACAGCCTTCTGGAACGAATTAAGTTCCAGAACCGAGGTTCCACCGTATTGCCTATTCTAGTGTCCTAATTCTCCCTAGACTCTTACTAGTTTTCTCTCTATGGACATTTCAGGAGCAGCTTCAGTGACTAAGGGTGCAGGTGGCTGTAGAACTATGGTTGGAAGCCTAAGGAGCTATAATTGTGTTGTGAATAATACCTTGAATTAAATATTAATAGGGGAGAAAAAGAGTTCTAGCTGTTAAGGTTGAAGAGAATGCCTACATTTTGTTACTGTGTTATAATGATAAGAATAGACTCCTTATTGGTATAAGGTTTGGTCTGTATGTGGTTGTGTATCTAAATTTAGACCTGGGTCTTTACAGTTTGCCCCTGGGGAAGCTTTTCCTGAGTTGACTCCTGAGTATTATTTTCTTTTTTATGTGTCCAGGGCTGATTGGGTATGAGAAGTTACTTTCTTGACATGAAATTAGTTTCTAAGTGTTTTTAGAAGATTCTTTTTAGAGGAATACCTACCATAGTCAAAATGGCAATATTATTCTCATACGACAGTACTGAGAAGAAGAAATAAGTCTAGAAAATTTGGCTGACATGTTAAGAGGAAAAATATGAAATGCTGGAAAAATAACTTTGTAAAAGTTGGGAATACAACAGATGTATAAATACAAGGGGTCCAACATGTAATAATACTAATACTTTATGGAGTGATATACTTCTAAGTCCTATTGTTCCTCAGTCTATCTTTTATTATGCAGAGTTTTATTTTCCCTTTTTCATTGTAGAAAAGGAACTCTTTTTAAAACTAAAGCATTGCCCGGCCGGTATTGCTTAGTGGTTGAGCATCGACCTATGAACCAGGAGGTCATGGTTCAATTCCTGGTCAGGGGACATGCCCAGGTTGCTGGCTCAGGAGGTAGCTGATCAATGATTCTCTCTCATAATTGATGTTTCTCTTTTTCTCCCTCTCCCTTCCTCTCTGAAATCAATAAAAATATATTTTAGAAAAACACAAAAAACTGTAAAGCACAGAGTGCCGCGCTGAATAGATCATGGGTCTGATCCATTCATAGAAAAAAATATTTATTTAAGGCTCAGTATGGTGTTAGGCTTTCAATATGGTGGCTTTTGGTGATGGAAAGATGAATACTATGTGTTCTCTGCTCTCAGATTCCTCATAGTATCCAGTATGTCATTTTATGTCTTCATTAGTGTTGGCAGGAGGAAAGGCGAGAGCTTTGGGTAAATGTTTTGGGGAAATCATTGGAGTTACTTTTCAGATAATTCTGGATCTCTCCTAATTTTATAGACTATTGGATTTCCAGAATTAAAGCCATCTTGAGATCATCCAAGCTAACCGCTCACCTAATAGTAATTTTTAAAATATCATTCCTACCATGTGGTCATCCAATTGCCACTTGTGCATACTTTAGTGATAGGCCAGCCATTTCTATTATTAGAAAACTCAGATTCTTAGAAAAATTTTTCTTACATTGAGCCCCAGTTCACCACCTAGTAAACTGCCATCTAGTTATACAGCAAATAAGGCCACTGCACAAGGGTGTATGCCTGAAGAGGGACTGAAATCCAGCCCCATTCTACTTGCAAAACCATGCACCTGAGGACTGCATCTACCCAGAAGTTGGTGCCTTTTGCTAATTGGCCCAGAGATGCTGTATGGCAGCGGTTCTCAACCTGTGGGTCGCCAACCTGTGAGTCGCAACCCCTTTGGGGGTCGAACAACCCTTTCACAGGGGTCACCTAAGACCATCGGAAAACACATATATAATTACATATTGTTTTTGTGAGTAATCACTATGCTTTAATTATGTTCAATTTGTAACAATGACAATACATCCTGCATATCAGATATTTATATTATGATTCATAACAGTAGCAAAATTACAGTTATGAAGTAGCCACAAAAATAATTTTATGGTTGGGGGTCACCACAACATGAGGAACTATATTAAAGGGTCGCGGCATTAGGAAGGTTGAGAACCACTGCTGTATGGGCTAGCCAGAGGCCTAACAACAAAGGAGCATTTATATACTCCAGATACTTCCAAATCACGGGCCTTTCCATCATACAGTTAGAGGAAAACGTCAAGTTAAAATTCAAAGGTGCTAAATTTGATTCCTATCTCTAGGTAACTTTGGGCAAATCATTTAACATTTCAATCTCAGATTCATTATATATAAAACTAGAGGCCCGGTGCACGAAATTTGTGCGGGGGGGGGGGGGGCTGTCCCTCAGCCCAGTCTGCACCCTCTCCAATCCGGGACCCCTCGGGGGATGTCCGACTGCCAGTTTAGGCCCCATCCTTGGGGGATCGGGCCTAAACCAGCAGTTGGATATCCTTCTCGCAGTCCGGGGCCACTGGGTCCTAACCGCTTACCTGCCTGATTGCCCCTAACTGACTGCCCCCTGTCAGCCTGGTCCCCCCCCTAACTATCCCCCTGCTGGCCTGGTCGCCCCCTAACTGGAAGGGAGTCAGACATCCGGAAGATGTCCGGTTGACCTGGTCTAATTAGCATATTACCCTTTTATTAGTATAGATAGGGTAACACCTCTCTTTGCCTATCTTAATGATTCAAAAAGTTCTTGTTGAAGATGGTTCTCTGACCCACTGTAGAGTCAGAATTACTGCCTGTGACTGCATGTCATTTCTAATTTTTATAATACTTTGTCCACAGGGAGGCTGAGAAGACAAAACTTCTTATAGCTATCCAGAAACAAAAGGTGGTGGAGAAAGAAGCTGAGACAGAGCGGAAAAAGGCTATTATAGGTACGTGGATTTCTTTCCGAAATGGCTGTCTCTAAGTACATGTGTTGTGAGTTTGTCCTGTTGTTCTTTGTCAGCTTCATATTAGATATTGATGGGACTCAAATAAGACTGAATCATTCATATTTAGAATTCTGGAAACTTCTTTATACAGTCAGATTTTCTAAAGCCTTTAAAAGCAGATGAGGCCAGTATGTAATGAAGTTCTTTGGCTCTCCACCATGTCATTGGCTGCCACAACTATTGTCTTTTTTAAGGACAGGGAAAGTAGACAGGATCTGGGGGCAGCTCTAGCCTCTGTGGAATAGGGTTTTTGTTTATACAGATTTAGGAGAGAGAAGTTTTTGGCAAAAGCTCAAGATTATAGTATGTATCCTTGCTGCTGACATGCACATAGTTTTATCTGGATAGATGAATAATACCACCTCCGAAAGCAGCAAGATTGCTTACAGCTCACTTTGAATCAGTGACTTCCCTAACACTCCAGGGTACTGTATATTAGACTGCCCTTTTAGGCCCCCAGTTGTTTGTTCCTTGGATGCTGAAAGCTTAAGGAGTCTTTCATTGAATATTTCAAATATGCAGAATATACAGAGAACAATACAATGAAGGCTTAACTTTTTGCCATATTTTCCTCAAATCATATTTGCTTTAAGAAAATTCTGTATCTGTTTGAAGCCTCCTCTATACTCTTCCTGGTCTTATTTTTTGACCCGTCTTCACAGAGTAGCTTCTATTCTAAAGTTGATGTATATCTTTCTGCCCATATTTTCATACTTACACTGAAAGTATGTGATAATTCACAGATTCTTTTAAACTACAAAAATGCTATCAGACTCCACTTTTATTTCATAACTTGTTTTTAGTTGTTGTTGTTAATTCTCACCTTGACTTTAAGAGAGAGAGGAAGGGATGGGAGGGAGAGAGAGAAAGAAACATGGATGTGAGAGATCGGCTGCCTCCCACACACACCCATCCGGGGCGGGGATCGAGCCTGCAACGAAGGTATGCACCCTTGGCCAGAATCGAACCCACGACCCTTCAGTCCTGGGGCTGACACTCTAACCATTGAACAAACTGTCCAGGGTCACAACTTGCTTTTTTAAACCAACATTGTTTGAGTTTTATTCATATTGATACATGATCTACTTCGTTTTTAATTACTGTGTATTTTCATGAGTAAACCTTGATTTATTCTGATAGATCATTAATGAATAGTTAGGTAGTTTCTAGTTTTTCCTTATTACAAAGAGTGTGCAGTAATGCCCTTATCCAGGTCTCTGTGAACACATGCAAGCATTTTCTTAGAGTAGTGTTACTCAACATGTGGTGTGGGTCAGTGCCCTGTCACCAGCTTTTTGTTTCTGATCCACAATGAGAGGACTACAGAAATGGAGAATGGGTGTTTAAAAATTCCTACAGCTTTTTTTATGTTTGTTGAATCTAATTGAAAACTTGAGCTTGTGCTTTTGTTTTTAATATTTTTCTTAGTACTTCGTTTTTTTAAATAATTTATAAAATATTGATTCCTAACAGATTGAAATACCCCAAAAGAAGTGTGCTTTCCCACAGATTCTTCTAGAATACATATCTCGAAGCAGAATTGCTGGGTCACAGAGTATACACGTCTTCAAATTTATAATCTATTGCCAAATCGCTCTCCAAAGTGATTTTTCCATTCCACCTTCTGTTCAGCAGTATTTGAGTTCCAATATATGTGTTGCCATATTGAGTCACATTTCTGCACATCCTCCTCAACCCTTGGAGTTATCAAACTTTAAAAAATTTATGCCAGTTTGATAGTGGACATTATATCACATAATTTCAGTTGAATTTCCCTCAATACTGTAAAGTTGAATATTGTTATTGATCATTCAGGTTTCCCTTTTTTTGTGGTATGTGAATTGCATGTTAATATCATCAGTCCATTATTTGATTATGTTTTTTGAACTGACTTGTAGAAGTTCTTTATATCTTCTGGATTTTAATCCTTTCCCATGTTTATACACTGCAGATATCTTCTCTCAATTTGTGGCTTGTCTTTGAACTTTATGATGTTTTTGACATACACATATATTTAATTTTCAACAAGTTAGATTCATCAATTTTTTCCTTTCTGGTTTGTGCTTTTCCCATCTTGTTTAGAAATTCTTTCTTAGCCCCCAAATAATGGTTTTATTCTAAAAGTTTTGTAGTTTTGCTTTTTATATTTAGGTCTTGAATCCATTTGGAATTTGTTTTAGTGTTTAGTGTGATATAGGAATTCAGTTTTATTTTTTTCAAATGGCAAACCAATTGACTTCAGACTTAAATAGTTCATTATTTCCTCTACTTGTTTCTAATGCCACATTGGTCATACAACAAGATTCTATATATGATTTGTTCTGTTGCTTGAGTCTCTATTTTGTTTTAATTTCTTGGTCTAGCTTTCTTCAATATTACCCTGTTTTAAATATTGTAGATTTTATGTTAAGTCTTACAATCTGGGAGAGCAAGTTTCTCCTTAACTATTTCTCTTAACTGTTCCTAACTATTCCTAAAATTGGCTTGAAAACGATCCCAGGCCCTTTATTCCTCCATATACGTTTTAGAACCAGTGCCTCAAGTTCTGTAAAATACAGTATTGGGGTTTTGATTGGAATTGTATTACTTGTATATATCACTTTATAGAGAATTATAATATTTATGATATTGAGTCTTATAAATCTGTTGTATTTCTCCGTTTATGAGAAATGTCTTTCAAAACTGTCATTTTCTTAAAGTTCTTGCATATTCTTTGTTAGAGATTTATTTCTGTATGTTAACTTTTTTGCTATTATAAATATGTTTCTTTTTTGAAGGTACTTTTTCTGACTTTTTTGCTTTTGTATAGGTATACTGTTGGTTTTTTCACTTAGCAATCTTGTTCAAAATGATATTTCTAATCTCTTGGATTTCCCATGTGAGCAGTCATACTGTCTTCAAATCAGTTCTGTTTTTTCCTTTGTAGTCCCACACTTTTTAATTCTATCTTACTGCTTTAGGCTATGCCTTGTTGAAAAGAAAGATGGTAATTGGCATTCTTGTCTTGTTCCTAACTTTACATAGTCCCAATTATGTTGGCTGTACTTAACTTTTATTGGGTTAGTGAAGTTTCCTTCTACCTCTTGCTTGCCAAGAGATTTTATCGTTAATGGCTGTTAAAACTTTTAGAATTTTTTTATGTATCTGTTGAAATGACCATATACTTTTTCTTTTTAAAGCTGTTAACATAGTGAATTATAGTAATAGGTTTTCTATTACTGGATAATTTTGTCTTCCTGGGATAAATCCACTTGGTCATAATGGAAGAGGTTCACCCCAATACATTTCCCTATATGGTTTGCTGGTTATTTCTGTAAAATGTTTTTATTTCAATAATTGAGATCAGCTTATAATTTTTTCCTTCTATTCTTAATGTCAGGTTTTGTATCATGGTTATATTAGCCTCAAAATGAAATGCAGAACACTTCTTTTCTAGAAAATTTTGTATAAACTACATATTATCTCTTCTTTGTAGATTTGACGGAACTCACTTGTAAAAGCCATCTTGGTCCAGTGGGGTTTGCGTTTGTTTTTTGGTTGTTTGTTTGTTTGTTTTTTGTATGCTTGGTTTTTTGTGGTAATAGTTAACTTACTGTTATAATTTCTTTAATGCATATAGGTCTACTCAGATATTTGTTTCTTTTTGAGTTCTGGTAGTTATATTTTTCTAGAAAATTATCTATTTCATCTGTTATTTCAAATTTGGGGGCATAAATTTGTAGAATTCTTTTTTGATTTTTAAAACCCTCTGCCAAATCGGTATGCTGCTCCCTTTTTATTTTTAATATTATTTACTGTGCCTTTTTTTTTCTGAATCAATTTTGCCAGAGGTCTGTCTTATTTTACTCATCTTTTCAGAGAACTGGATTTTAATTTGGTTGATTCTATTGTCACTTTTTAAAAAATAATATCACTTACACTTAGTTTTATTATTTCTTCTACCTTTTTGAGCTTACTTATTGGTTCTTTTCTAACTTACTGGGTTAATTCTTTAGTTTTCAGTCTTTTCTAATGAAAATATGAAAGATTATATGTTTTCTTCTAAGTTCTGCTTTAGGTGTATCTCAAATTTTGAAATGTAGTTTATTATTGGTTTTCAGTTTTAATTTAGAAAAATTTTTTCATTATGATTTCTTTGCCTGATGAATTATTAAAAGGGCTTTTAGGGGGCTACCTTTTCAGTGTTGATTTTCAATAGTCAGAAAATATTATCTGTTATATGAATTCTTAAGTATTTGTTGAAATTTGCTTCATGGCCCATCAATACATGGTCCTTTTTTGGTAAATGTTCTGCCCACTTACAAAGATTGAATGTACATTCTCTATATGCTGGATGCAGGTTTCTCTGTATAGCCATTAGGTGAGGCTGGTGTTGTTCACATCTGTGTTCTTCCAATTTTTCCCTTCTTGAGCTATCCGTTTCTGAGGAAGGTGTGTTAAATCCCACTATGACTATGGATTTGTTAACTTAAAATTTCTTTCTTTATGTGTTTTGGGGCTATATCATTAAGAGCATTCAGGTTTAGATTGTTACATCTCCCAGGATAATTGCACCCATTATGTAGTAACCCTCTTTATCCCAAACATGTTTTTGGCTTAAGGTCTATTTTTTCTGATGATAATATAGCTATACCAATTTCTCTTGATTAGTTATTTTCTTGTTGTATCTTTTCGCATCCTTTTACTTTCAACTTTTCTATGTCATTATGTTTTAGGTGTGTCTCTTGTAAACAGCATATAGCTGGATTTTGTTATCTTATCCAATGTGAGAATCTGTCTTTTAACTGGTGAGTTTAGTCTTTTTATATTTATTGTGGTTACTGCTATGTTTGGGTTTGTTTATAATATTTAATTTTGTGCTATTTATCATGCATCTTTTTCTCTGCTAATATTCCCCCTCTTTTCTGATGGATATTGAATTGATTGGATTTTCTTTATTCTTTTACTTGATTGGAAGTTTTACATTTAATTTTTAGAATTATAACTAGTCATGACCTGTAAAATGTTTAACAAGCATACCTGACTTGACAAAGTCTAAAGTTATTCTATTCTCTTCTTGAATAATACCTTAGAATACTTTAATTCTTATCACTGTCCTCCAATTTTTCATATTACTGTTGTCTAGTAGTTTAGTTTCATGTTGTTTTTATTCCCCCATTAATTATTATCATCATCATTGATTCTTACAGTAAATATTTCAATTTACATGTATTATGTAATTTTTTCTTCTCCATTGTTTCTGGCAATTCATTTTTTTTCCCTGCTAGTTTTTTTCAGTAAAAGCTTAGAGTGGAAACTTACTCAGTCTTCCTTGGTCTGAAATGCTTTTGTTTCATTCTTGAATGATAATTTAGCCTATAATTCTAAATCCAATTATTATTCTTTGTTACTTTGGTGGTATTATTTTATTTTTGTTTAGCCTCTTCTCTTTATACTTTTAAGATTTTTCTCTTTGTCTTTGGGTATTCTCCAGTTTCACTATGATGTGTCCAGGTGAGAAAAGCTTACTTCTCATTGGGCTGGTAGAAAGAGTTTTTATTAATTAATTTCTTTATTTATTATAGTTTTATTGATTTCAGAGAGGAAGGGAGAGAAACAGAAACATCAGTGATGAGAGAGAATCAACAATCGGCTGCCTCCTGCACACCCCCTACTGGGGATCAAGCATGCAACCTGGGCATGTGCCCTGAGTGTGAATTGAACCATGACTTCCTGATTCATAGGTTGATGATCAATCACTGAGCCATACTGGTCGGGCAAGATAGAGTTTTTTAGTCTCACTGGAGTTGCAGTTCTGTAGCTGTCTCTCTGTTGTATACAGGAGTCTCGGTTCCAGCATCTCAAGTCCTCATCTTCTGACCCCCCTGCTTGGGCAATAACCCAAGTTCTTCTCCCTTACTTGTCTGATAACCACCCCTGGGCTGCCACTATGCAGACTCTCAGCTCTCCCTTTGCTTATGTCTCTTGAGTAGCTCCCATTTTTTTCTTAGAATCTCAGCCCTGGGTTAAAAAACAAATTCTCGCTTAGAATCTCAGTCATGCGTTAAAAAACAAATTTGTTAAATTTTATCTAGCACTTTAAAGCAGTTATTTTCAACCAGTGTGCCGAGGCAGGAACACTTGCATGCTGTAAGAATTTTTAATACCTGACTATTTAGTCAGGGCACTGACCTCTATCAGGGGTCCTCAAACTACGGCCCTCGGGCCACATGCAAATACAAATATTGTATTTGTTCCCGTTTTGTTTTTTTACTTCAAAATAAGATATGTGCAGTGTGCATAGGAATTTGTTCATAGTTTTTTTTTAAACTATAGTCCGGCCCTCCAACGGTCTGAGGGACAGTGAACTGGCCCCTGTTTAAAAAGTTTGAGGACCCCTGCCTTAGATTGTCAAATAAAAAAATCACAACAGCAAACACAACAGTAGTTGTCTGATATGAATGAATCAATAGTATACCCTTTTTTTTGTCAGATTGACAAAAAATATAGTTTTTGGTGTGCTGCAGAATTTTAGTAATGAGTTTATGTGTGCCATGAGATGAAAAGGTTGAAAGTTGCTGCTTTAAGGTGTTGTTAGCTGAAGGATTTTTCTCATTAGCCTACTCCACCGTTTTTCTAGACTATAAGTGTAGTCACATTCTTTATGGCTTTATCCACACACATTAAAGAGCAGTGTTAAATGGGATTATGGCAGCAGTTCCCTTATGTTGAAACACCAGTCTCGGGGTTCTAGCTGCAGATGCCAGATCCCCCTTCCCTCTATTCAAGTTTTATCTTGAGTTTCTGCTTATTTCTAAATTTCTAGCCCAGTTGAATATAGTCTGTCTTTGGGATGGTATGATATAAATTGACTTTATGGCTGATAGGGAAATGTGCCCTGGAGTAGCTGAGAAAGGCTACTGTCTTTTAGAAAGAAAAAAACCACTTGGAAATTTTTTTAACGTTATGCATTTCCCCTGGGAAGTGCATAAAATGTGTTAAAATATTCACCTTCTTTGTCTGAAAAGGAGAGTTGAGAACGTTCTTCAAGAAATGCAGTGATTGAAATAAAAGTTTAATTAGAGTCTTTCTCCCTTGGTCCTGGATCCTTTGATTGGGCCAAGTTTTACTAAGAATGTTTCTCATTTTCCCCACCTGTAACAGCCTGCTGCAGCTAATTTGTTCACTCCCAGTACTGTTTGTACATTCTCAGATGAATTGTCCTTCTTTTTTACCTTCCACGGCAGTCAGAATATTCCTTCTCTGATATTTTCATCGTGTTATTTCCTTTATGGCAATTTAACAGTTGATCCTGAGCATATTAAAGCCTAAATTCCTTAGGCTGTCACTCAAGACAGGTGTCTTCTAACCCTCTTTCTATTATTATTTTTTGTTGTATCTCGTCAGCTGGCTCTGTATTACCTCTCACTTGCGCATTTCGTACCTTCTTGTCTTTGTTTACACCTTCTGCCTTGTCCTCCTAGGTCATGTCCATTATTTTCTTTAAGATTTCTTCTAGAAGGCCTTCCTTGGTGTAACTTACCTTTCTTTCTCCTACCACATTATATTAATTGTCCTACCTTGCCATGCATTTATGTTGCTCTGTTTTTGTGCTGAGTACTTTGATGAAGTATCTTTTTACCCCATTAGCTTGTGGACTATTGCTATTTAATCCCTTAAAGGACTGGAACTGTTAACTTTTGTATTCCCCTTTCTACAAAATTAGCACTTTCAAAACAGAACAGTAAAGTAGGAAATAGACTCCCTTTTATTCCATTGAGTTGTTTACTATGTGGTTAGATAAAACTTAATGAAACAGTCCATAACACCTTATGTAAGTAAACGTTAGACTGTGTGCTGCTGATTCTAAGTACCTGTGGAGCTAGGGAAATGTTTTTGAATGTGTCTTCTTTTGTATGATTATAGAAGCAGAGAAGATTGCACAAGTGGCAAAAATTTGGTTTCAGCAGAAGGTGATGGAGAAAGAAACTGAAAAACGGATTTCTGAAATTGAAGGTACATCAGGGAAAAAGAGGCTCTGGCTATCCTAATCTGCCTTTCTGCCCCACGGGTTGGGCTCTATGGTGGATAGGAAGGCCATAGACAGAATAGTCTGAAGGAAGTGGCTGACTTGATATTCTAGATAATTTTTTTTTAATTGCCATTACATATCTAGCTCTTGGTTTGGTTTGTGACTTTGGCTAACTCAGCCAAAGTCACAAACCGACTTAAAATAGGGCTTATTAGCTCCCACTTTGTTCTCAGGCAGTAAGATAATTACCCATAATCAGTTGTAAAGTATGTATAAGATGAGAAACCCCAGCACAACCAGTTTCTTTCCTACCTGTCAATGAAAAAAACACACCATAAAAATTAGCTGGGAAAAAAGAAGCCACGGTTTTCAAAGAGCTCTCAAACTCCTTGATTTCACAGTGAGATGTTCTTAGCTTATAGTCTTGAAGACCACACATTCAACCTCTTCTGCTTATATACTGCAGCTTTCTATTGTTTAGATCAAATGCGGGGGGTGGGGGGGGTGATTCAGTAAATAGAGCAGAGCTTTTGTGTCTGGATTTAGTTATTTCACTTGAAGCTGAGAGTGGGGTGGGGTGTGATGCTTTGGGTGATGGGGGTGGAGGAAAGAAAGAGCACTTTTAGGTGGAAACTGAAGTGGGCTCAGCTGAGCTGGGAGTTGTTCAACATTGACAAGAGTATTCCCATTGAAGTCCTCAGAAGCTCTCTGAGGACTGGGATTTTAAAACTGCTAGAGTTGTTACTGGTATATGCTTTTAAAGTAAAGAAGTGATCAAAATATCAGGCAGTGGAGAAAGGGACTATTACCTAAAGTAGAGTCTGAACTTGTTACCCAGCTGAGGAAATAGATCACAAGTTTCCTTTGTTTTAAATACCCTGTGTTGTTTTGCTAGATGCCGCGTTCCTGGCCCGAGAGAAGGCAAAAGCAGATGCTGAATATTATGCTGCACATAAATATGCCACGTCGAACAAGGTGACTGGCTCTCTGTGCCACTCTCCTAGTAATACAGTTTGGGGTTTAGTTTCTCTTGTGGGGGCTCTACTGTGATAAAGGAGATTTTATCCAGTGTCAAGAAAGGGTAGTTACTGTCACACCCTCTAGAATCAGCCAATCACTTGGCAAGATATATTGCACACTTATTGGATAGGGAATTTTGTATATTTGTGTATAAAAATGGGGAGCTCTGACAAAGGCAAGCAGATATATGAAAATACATGCCATATAGCAGGCACGTCAAACTCACGGCCCATGGACCACATGCGGCCCACAACGAATATTTTTGCAGCCCAGCTAATATAACGGTATGCAAGAAACGATTTAATAAAAATTTCATGACTTAATTTTTACAATATCCTGTTATATATAATTATTAATAACGAACTACTACATTCGCTATTGACTGATTACTATAATCATGTTACATTCATTTCCCTTACATGCCTTAAGCACAGGCGCACCATTTCTCTCCACTAATACTAGCAGCGAATATTTTAGCAGCCGATTGCATGTCATTAGTCTTGTAGTCACTTGTTTGGTGTGCACAACAGGAAATAGTTCGCTTTCAGAGAATAAGAAAAATAGAAATTTGCGTTACACTTTTTAATTGTGCAGATATTCAGTGTCTGGTAAGTTAATGTCCAAGAAAAAATACAATTTTTATTAAAATGTTCTATTCTTTTATGTTAACGATTACTCATTTATTTCATCCCTCTGTATTCAGTATGTCTCTATCAAAATAAACCTATGTTTCTACGAAAATTGAAGCTTTTGTGTTTTGCGGCCCACATAAACTTAAACCTTGTTTATTTGGCCCATGTTAGCCTTTGAGTTTGACATGCTTGCCATATAGCCATTCATTTGTCCTGCTATATAAGAATTCAGTAATCAAGAAAATTGAGGGGCTTCTAAAATGACAAAAAGAACAGAAGAGTAAAGTTTATTTAGAATTGCTTCCCAGAGAAGGTAGGTTTTTTGAGTAAGCTCATTTATAGCAGTGTTTCTCATCAGAGACATTCTTGGCATTTTGGAGTGAGATACTTCTTAATTGTTAAAGATCATCTCATGCATTATGGGATATTTTGCACCCCAGGCCCTCGCCTACTAAATGTCAGTAGTGTTTGCCAATTATTTTAATAGTCACCACCACTCCCCACACACACACGTGTTTCCAAATGCTACCAACTGAGTATTGCTTGTTTACTGGGCTTTTTAAATGTTTTAGTCATGAGGCATTTTATGTGTAATAACTTGAGAAAGGAGGTTGGGTGATGTATGGGTGACCAATTTTTGTTTAGGGACTGGGGTAAGTTTAGGTCTAGAGACTGCAGGCCTAGTTAGCAGGAATTATTTAATTAAGAGGCAGCTAGAACCCCTATGGCTTTCTGAGAAGGGAAGGATCTATCCAAGGTTTATAAGGTTATTAGTTGTAGAATAGATTGGACAGAAAGAATGGAGACAGAGATTGCTAAGGTATAGGATACAGTTTCCAAGATTAGAGTTAAGATTGAAGGTAGAGACAGAGCTTAAACTCTTTTGATTTAGAAAATAACCAAATAATCTGTATTCAGAAGGAATGATAAGACTTGAAATTCAGTATGAATTTAGAAATACACTTAACATATTGGAGGACACAGCTCTATAGAAACAGAATGAAGTTTGGTCAAGATGAAGACGAGATGAGAAACTTGAGTTTACAAAACTAACATTTCAAATCTGTCATGGGAGAGGCTGACCAGGCACAAATATCCAGATCTTGTCATGAAGTCAGCCTATGCCTAAAGGGCAGCAAGTAGTTTTATGTCACTTTGAAAATGAAAAATGCTATTCAGATATTGACCTATAATAATAAGACTTTAGAAAGTAAATTGTTTACACACGGTGAGCAGATTGGATGGCAGTGTTTCAGCAGGGATATGAGTCAGCTGGAGAAGGTGTAGGTGCAGGAGTGGAAGATGTCAGAGGGCTGTGAAGAACAAGATGGGCTTTGCCTGGAGGACAGGCTGGGACTTGAGATGAAGAGAAAATCCCTAGGGGAGGCTCTGAGAGGCTTTAGAGTATATTTTAAGGATCATTGGAAATGAATACGTTTTAATCAAACCCAGAGAGATTGTGATTGGATATATCTTAGGATCACGATTTAAATAAGACTGTGACGGAGAGAAACCTGATGATTGACAAACACCTGTCCATCACAAGCAGATTAAACATCCAGTTTCTGGTAGAGGCAAGAGGCCAGACCAGGTGATTTCTTGAGATATTTTCTAGTTCTGGAATGTGATCAAGAAAAGCAGAATCAAAGGTGGTTGATTATAAGGTTCTGAGCCCAGGCCCTTCCTTTGAAGCTCTGCCACTCCCATCCGTTGACCTGTTCATATATCAGGAGAAACTCCAAACTGACCCCAGGTTGATTCAGCTGGATGAAATGAGAAAGTACATATGGAAGTACTTCATCAGCCACAAGTCACTGTGGAAATGTTATCATCATTACTTAGTGAGTTACATTCATTGTTCCTCAAAACCACCCCCAACCTTTTTTTTTTAATTAAAAAATAAACAGCTTCTCCTACATTATAACAGCTTGTTGAAGGAACTTCAAGTCTGGAATATAGCTATTAATTTGATAGCCACACTTCAAAGTGAGAGAGGGTCATTGGCAACAATTCAGATTTGAGTAATTTTATCAGTAGAGCAATAGGGAAATGTGTGTAAGGAAATAGAGGGATGAATATTGCACCAAAGTGTCCTGATGCCTCTGCTCCTGTTTGCCCCCACACAGCACAAATTGACCCCGGAGTATCTGGAGCTCAGGAGGTACCAGGCCATTGCTTCTAACAGTAAGATCTACTTTGGCAGCAACATTCCGAGCATGTTCGTGGACGCCTCTTGTGCTGTGAAATATTCTGATGTTAGGACTGGAAGGAAAAGCTCTCCTCTCCTCTCTAAGGATGCTGCTGAACCCTCTGGAGAGAGCCCTGTCCAAAAGAAGGAGAGCATAGGTTGATGCAAGAGGTGGAAATGTTCTCCCATATCAAGATGTGGCCCAAGGGGTTCAATGGGAATAATGGTTACGCGACTCCCTGTGCTCGTGTGTTCTGCCTCTCCTGTGGTAGTCCTGGCTTACCAGCTGATTCCAGGATAGAGCCAGCTGTCTGGCACCCAAATGGTCTTTTCAACCACAGTTTTATCAAGTATGCTGTGTGTGATCCTTGCTAAATTGGTACTCATGAAAGAAGGAAAGTCTAATGCTAAGATACTGCCTGCACTGGAATGTTAAACACAAAATACATAACAAGCTGTGTTTTCCTAAGCTGAGATCTGTTGAATAATGTTTACATTGGTCCCAGGGGAAGTGTGTGCTCAGCCATTCAAGAGATAGAAGGCCAGAGAGAAGATGGCCAGGATGTGGTAAGTGTAAAGAAGACTCACTACACCTGGGACCGGGCTCTCTTTAGGGTCTGCAGTGTACATCCATGTGATTAGCATCTAGTCTGCTGAAGTTCCCCAGGAAATGATCTTCCAGTTGAGCAACCATTTACTTGATACAATGTGCACATTTTTGTTTTCCTACAGTCAAGTTGGTGGCTTGCTGGGACATGCACCTTGCCACTCAACCAGATTCCTTGTAGAGATTCCTAATCACTAGTTTATTGCATTAGTAGGCTCAGAGATAGAGCTTGGTTTGAAGTTTTGGATGAGATGAAACCTTGGCTTTGAATCAAAGTTCTGGGGACCTGAATTCTCCTCCATTGGGTGATGACTGTCTGTGTCACTGCCTCAGGCTGTGTGTGACTAAGGTACTTGGTTTCTTGTCACAGACAACTCCTTATAAGTCACCTCTCAGCTCTGGCTGGCCAAGAGCAAGACAGGGCTTTACCAGAAATAGGAGCAGCATACAATTCCTAGCTATTCACTGCACAGTATTGTATCATAACTGCAGGAAGTTTTTTAACTGGATTTGGGGTACATTCATTTGCCCTAGTACCTCTGCCTAAAGGCTCTATTCTAGGCTGCCATGGTTACTAGCACACGAATTCTCCTTCTCAATATTGTTCATCAGGAGCCTACATGGTGTGGAACAAAGAGTAACTTGGTCATTTTTGTCTCCTTCCCTATTGGCCCTGAGATGCTGAAATCAAAGTTGTTCTCCAGCTTCACCTTCCCTAGGAGATTAGGATTCCACTGACTTCCTGGGCAGCCAGTGGATTTAATCTTCCATGAGAGGATGACAGATTAATCTGTGGCTATGAGAGACCTATTTCACCTGTACTTTTTTTTTCCTTAATGATTAATTTTCTTAAAAAAGTGTGCCCCATAGTTAGGCCTGAGTATGTGCAGCTTGTTAAGACCTTTTGTGTAGACTTTGTTCAAGCCAGACAGAAAAGTCATGGGATCCTTCCAGCAACCTCTCAGCTGACTCTCAGTCTCATGACAGTTGTGAGTTGTGCCAAACACTTTATGGGAATGGAATCCCAGATTTGAGTGGGTCTTTTCCTTGGGCCTTATCCTATAAAAGCATTTGTAATATGGAGAGAATCTTTTTTTTTTTTCATTTTTGCTCATTAATTGTATGCATTCTCTTTTTGAGTGAATTTTGTGTTCTCTAGCCCTCAAAAGAACTTTTGAACTAAAAATAAACTTCTCCTGTCATATATTGTTGCTGCAGATAATGATTGTTGTGGGAAACTTGGATCATTGGTTTTTGTGCTTTCATTACTAGAGATGTTTTCTATTCCCATGAGCTAAAAGTTGCTGCCCCAAAGTGATGGATGTGGGTTATCTTACAAGCCACAAGCCCTGGTGGCAGAGTTGAGGGGCAGGGAAATCACATGGTGAAGTTTTAAAGAAAGTACTTCCACTTGAACTGTGCTTCCCTGTGCTCACTCAGGCACTAGGTCTAGCCCTCCTTCAGGGATGTTCCTTTTGGCAAATATATACTGTAATCTTGAGTCTAAATTTATATGTGAAATGCTACCTTTTTTTAAAAAAAGAAACTAAATAAAATTATTTTACTATCAGTGATTTGTGTTTTCCATATGTCTCCGTTCTTTTCTGTTGTCCTAATATGCTCCCAAGGCTTTCTTGCCCATTTCACTAGGTATCCACTTTATTTAGTAGTTTTACTTAACTGTAGAGGCTTTTCTTATACTCCTCCCAGAACACTGCCTCCCTCGTATGAGAATTTTAAAATAATTTTTAAATATTTTTTAATTACAGTTGACATATTAATTTCAACTATATAATAGTGAGTAGACATTTCTATAACTTATGAAGTGATCGCTAGTACCTGGCATAAGAATTTTGTTTTGTTTTTTGTTTGTTTGTATTTATTTATTTATTCATTTATTTTATTGCTTAAAGTATTACAAAGGGTATTACATATGTGTCCTTTTTTTTTCCCCGCCCTTGACAATCCCCTTGCCTCCCCTACCCCCCGGTGTCTTATGTCTATTGGTTATGCTCATATGCATGCATACAAGTCCTTCGGTTGATCTCCTACCCCCCTCCCTCCTGCCCCTCAACCCTCCCCGGCCTTCCCGCTGCAGTTTGACAATCTGTTTGAGGCAGCTCTGCCTCTGCATCTATTATTGTTCAAAAGTTTATAATGGTCTCTATTATCCATGAATGAGTGAGATCATGTGGTATTTTTCCTTCATTGACTGCCTTATTTCACTTAGCATAATGCTCTCCAGCTCCATCCATGCCGTTGCAAATGGTAAGAGTTCCTTCTTTTTTACAGCAGCATAGTATTCCATGGTGTAGATGTACCACAGTTTTCTAATCCATTCATCTACTGATGGGCACTTAGGCTGTTTCCAGATCCTAGCTATGGTGAATTGTGCTGCTATGAACATATGGGTGCATATATCCTTTCTGATTGGTGTTTCTGGTTTCTTGGGATATATTCCTAGAAGTGGGATCACAGGGTCAAATGGGAGTTCCATTTTTAGTTTTTTGAGGAAACTCCATACTGTCTTCCATAGTGGCTGCACCAGTCTGCATTCCCACCAGCAGTGCACGAATGTTCCTTTTTCTCCACATCCTCTCCAGCACTTGTCATTTGTTGATTTGTTGATGATAGCCAGTCTGACAGGTGTGAGATGGTACCTCATTGTTGTTTTGATTTGCATCTCTCAGATGATTAGTGACTTTGAGCATGTTTTCATATGTCTCTTGGCTTTCTGAATGTCCTCTTTTGAAAGGTGTCTATTTAGATCCTTTGCCCATTTTTTGATTGGATTGTTTATCTTCCTTTTGTTAAGTTGTATGAGTTCCCTATAAATTTTGGAGATTAGGCCCTTATCAGATATGACATTGGCCAATATGTTTTCCCACGCAGTGGGTTTTCTTGTTGTTTTGTTGATGGTTTCTTTTGCTGTGCAGAAGCTTTTTATTTTGATGTAGTCCCATTTGTTCATTTTCTCTTTAGTTTCAAGTGCCCTAGGAGCTGTATCAGTGAAGAAATTGCTTCGGCATATGTCTGAGATTTTGTTGCCTTTGGATTCTTCTAGAATTTTTATGGTTTCCCGTGTTACATTTAAGTCCTTTATCCATTTTGAGTTTATTTTTATGTATGGTGTAAGTTGGTGGTCTAGTTTCTTTTTCTTGCATATATCTGTCCAATTTTCTCAACACCATTTATTGAAGAGACTATCTTGGCTCCATTGTATGTTCTTGCCTCCTTTGTCAAATATTAATTGAGCATATTGGTTCGGGCCGATTTCTGGGCTCTCTATTCTATTCCATTGATCTATATGTCTGTTCTTGTACCAGTACCAGGCAGTTTTGAGAACAGTGGCTTTGTAATACAGCTTGATATCTGGTATTGAGATCCCACCTACTTTGTTCTTTCTCAGGACTGCTGCAGCTATTCGGGGTCTTTTTTTATTCCAGAAGAATTTTTGGAGAGTTCGTTCTAGATCTGTGACGTATGCCATTGGTATTTTAATGGGAACTGCGTTGAATTTATAGATTGCTTTGGGTAGTATGGACATTTTAATGATGTTGATTCTACCAATCCATGAACACGGTATGTTCTTCCATCTCTTTATGGCTTCCTCTATCTCTTTTTTCAACGTCCTGTAGTTTTCTGAGTAGAGGTCTTTTACCTCTTTAGTTAAGCTTATTCCTAGGTAGCTTAATTTTTTTGGTGCGATGGTAAATGGGATTGTTTTTATTATCTCTTTCTGAAAGTTCACTATTGGTGTATAGAAATGGCATAAGAATTTTGAAAGCAGTTTCCATTCTTCTTGACTTGTGGAATTTACTAGGTGTACCGGTTAATAATGCGGATTTTTTCAATAGATGGAGTTACACATATGTTGATATATATGCGATTTGATATGTATGCTATTTTGTTGTATTGCTCCTTCAGATCACGACTTGTTCCGATCAATGGCACACGCACTTTCTGAGCAGCACCTCAAAACGTATGAAGAGGTGAAAAATTGGGTCTCTGAATGGTCTGCCTCAAGACAAGAAAAGTTCTATTGGGATGGTATCCACAAATTACCTGAAAGATGGGGGAAATGTGTAGCTAGCGATGGACATTACTTTGAATAGAGCACTTTTGATGTTTCTCTTGAAATTATTGTGTTTTCTTTGGATTACAAAATTCGTATTAAGCTGTTAAAATGCGTATTAACCGGTTAATAATATGGATTAACCATTAACCGGTAAATAATGCGGATTAACTATTAATGGATTCCATATTATTAACCGGTTAATAGTTAATCCACATTTTAACCAGTTAATTAGAATTTTTGTAATCCAAAGAAAACAATAATTTCAAGAGAAACATCAAAAGTGCTCTATTCAAAGTAATGTCCATTGCTAGCTACACATTTCCCCCATCTTTCAGGTAATTTGTGGATACCGTCCCAATAGAACTTTTCTTGTTTTAAGGCAGATCATTCAGAGACCAAATTTGTCACCACTTCGTACGTTTTGAAGTGCTGCTCAGAAAGTGTGTGTGCCATCTATCAGAATGTAATCTGAAGGAGCAAGGTCTGGTGAATACAGCGTGTGGGTTAATACTTCCCAGGCAAGATCTTTTAGTGTGTCTTTAACTGGTTTTGAAGAGTGTGATGGTGCGTCATCATGAAGCAAACTTACTTTGCCGTGTCTTCTGGCCCATTCTGGTTGTTTTAAGATCACAGCCTGGTTCAAATTGATTATTTGTTGTCGGTAGTGATCAGTATTATCGGTTTCACCTGGTTTTAGAAGCTCATAATACACCACACCTTCCTGATCCCACCAAAGGCAGAGCATTGTCTTCTTTCTGAAGAGATTTGGCCTTGCAGTCGATGTTGTTGGTGGACCTGGATCAACCCATGATTTTGTGTGTGTGGGATTCTCAAATCCACTTGTCATCGCCAGTCACAATTCGATGCAAAAAAGACTTTCTTTCCTGCTGTTGAAGCAACATTTTACTGAGGACTTCTCAGTTTTCCATTTGTCTTTTGTTCAGTTGATGTGGCACCCCTTTTCTTTCTTTAAAATCTTTCCCATTGCTTGTAAACGATCAGAAATTGTTTGCTGAGCAATATTTAATCTTTCTGCAAGTTGTTTTTGAGTTTGACACGCATCTTCACCTAATAATGCTTGTAAATGTTGGTCTTCAAACTTTTTCGGTTGACCTGGATGTTCTTTGTCTTTCACATCGAACTCATCACTTTTAAAGCGTTTAAACCAGAATTCACAAGTATATTGAGATGGAGCATGTACACCATACGCTTCCCGAAGTATACGATAACTTTCAGCAGGACTTTTCTTCAAAATAAAGTAATGAATTAAAACTTTCCGCAAATGCTCTTTTTTTTTTGGCATGAAATTCGACATGTTTTTTTATTGCTTAAAGTGTTACAAAGAGTATTACATATGTGTCCCTTTTTTTTCCCCCGCCCTTGACAATCCCCTGGCCTCCCCTATCCCCCAGTGTCTTATGTCGATTGGTTATGCTTATATGCATGCATACAAGTCCTTCGGTTGATCTCCTACCCCCCTCCCTCCTGCCCCCCAACCCTCCCCGGCCTTCCCACTGCAGTTTGACAATCTGTTTGGGGCAGCTCTGCCTCTGCATCTATTATTGTTCATAAGTTTATAATGGTCTTTATTATCCATAAATGAGTGAGATCATGTGGTATTTTTCCTTCATTGACTGGCTTATTTCACTTAGCATAATGCTCTCCAGTTCCATCCATGCCGTTGCAAATGGTAAGAGTTCCTTCTTTTTTACAGCAGCATAGTATTCCATGGTGTAGATGTACCACAGTTTTCTAATCCATTCATCTACTGATGGGCACTTAGGCTGTTTCCAGATCTTAGCTATGGTGAATTGTGCTGCTATGAACATATGGGTGCATATATCCGTTCTGATTGGTGTTTCTGGTTTCTTGGGGTATATTTCTAGAAGTGGGATCACAGGGTCAAATGGAAAGACATAAAGAGATGGAAGAACATACCGTGTTCATGGATTGGTAGAATCAACATCATTAAAATGTCCATACTACCCAAAGCAATCTATAAATTCAACGCAGTTCCCATTAAAATACCAATGGCATACGTCACAGATCTAGAACGAACTCTCCAAAAATTCTTCTGGAATAAAAAAAGACCCCGAATAGCTGCAGCAGTCCTGAGAAAGAACAAAGTAGGTGGGATCTCAATACCAGATATCAAGCTGTATTACAAAGCCACTGTTCTCAAAACTGCCTGGTACTGGTACAAGAACAGACATATAGATCAATGGAATAGAATAGAGAGCCCAGAAATCGGCCCGAACCAATATGCTCAATTAATATTTGACAAAGGAGGCAAGAACATACAATGGAGCCAAGATAGTCTCTTCAATAAATGGTGTTGAGAAAATTGGACAGATATATGCAAGAAAAAGAAACTAGACCACCAACTTACACCATACATAAAAATAAACTCAAAATGGATAAAGGACTTAAATGTAACACGGGAAACCATAAAAATTCTAGAAGAATCCAAAGGCAACAAAATCTCAGACATATG